TCTGAATTGATAAAACTTGAGAGCATCCAGGGGCTTTGCCCCTACATGTACAACCCACCAGGGGTGTTCAGGGGCCGTAAGACACACGTTGGCTTCGGCGTTCCCTTCATGAAAAATTCCTGGATCCGCCGCTGCATTTAGAGGGACACATACAATGTACATACATGTGTATGTACACAAATGCATCTAAGGAAACAGAATGAATTACATGCCATGTTTTTTTATTTTGCAGTAATCCTTCTATTAAACAAGATGCAATATGAACTTGCATGAACTGGATTCCAACTGTCCGAGATTGATTATTTCTCTTCATTTAATTCATTCATGTACTGTATATACTTTAAGTTGCATGTTTATAAGAAAGTGGAACGAGAAAGAGAGACAACTTTGAAGGCAGAAATATAGAGGGAGACAAACACAAATACAGATCTAGGGAAAAAGGGAGACTGGGAATGAATAAAATGTTTTTTTCTTCTTCATCTTCTGCAGTAATCCCTTACAAAGAGGTACACTGTACATGTATAGTACTTGTATAAACTGGATTCCAATTGTACATGGAACTTGTGTATTTGAAGCCCATTGGATTTCTTTTAATTTCTTTCATTTTGCTAGAAAAATATCATTATTGTACTAACCACAAGGCAAAATATAGAATAATATTTTTAGAGTACCGGGTATACATGTACTGTATGTGTACATGCATGTGTAAGTAATTTCACTCTACACACAATTGTATACAGCACTTGTTTTGTGTTCAATGTTTTTAAGTTTATTTTAAGACAACCTATTAAAATATTGAAAAATCAATATTGCCATAATTCCATGTATTATGACACAGCACCTCATAAACAGCTTTGCAGCCTGGCCTTTGAAAATGCGGTGCTGATCGAGCAGCATCTGCAAATTTCATGCTCTCCTCCCCCCCCCCTCTCTCTCTCTCTCTCTCTCTCTCTCTCTCTCTCTCTATGCTTCCAGGGTAGTAGCTAAATACAATCAATCAATTGGCTATTGATTTTTTTTTTTCTTGTTAAGAAGCTATAATACACCTCCCTCTATTAGAGGCAGGCTTTGTGTTGAAACTGAATGGGAGGATGCAATGAACAAAGGATCAGTACCTTATGAGAGGAAGACACTTTGAACACAAGATACACACAGTATGTCAGTAAAAATTAATCAATAGGCCTGAAAATCATACAGAAAGAGCTATTTTGTACACAGAAAAGCCTAAACTATGGCCTGAAAATAAATTGCTTTTGCCTAAACTGAAAACTGGCATCCCTGTGTAGTACAGTATTGAGTATTCTGATCTGAATTCTGTATTCAGCTTTTACACATACAATGTACAAGCGGGGTCCAGACAACTCGCCACAAAGACAACCCGCCCCAAGACAACCCGCCACAATACCCTGGACATCCCGCCACAATACCCTGGACAACCCGCCACAATACCCTGGACAACTCGCCACAGCCTTTTCGGACAACTCGCCACACTTTTTCCCATCATGATTTCTAGATCTAAAATGAAATGAAATTGTCATTTTTCATGATTTTCGTGCTTTTATAAACACAGTCATTACAAAGAATAAAGAATAAAGTTGATTTCCCTAATTGTAACAATAATATATATTGAAATGAAATTGTCATTTTTCATGATTTTCGTGCTTTTATAAACACAGTCATTACAAAGAATAAAGTTGATTTCCCTAATTGTAACAATAATATATATTGAAATGAAATTGTCATTTTTCATGATTTTCGTGCTTTTATAAACACAGTCATTACAAAGAATAAAGTTGATTTCCCTTGTAACAATAATATACTTTTGATCTAGAGGTCTATAACAGCTGCATTTTTCTGTCCCAGAATTTTTTTAATGGTAGGATACTGGAAGCACTGGCGTACCAGGGGGGGGGGGGGGTGGGCAGTTGACCCGCGAAATAAAATTGGAATGTGGTTTATTTCTAGATTTTCTGGGTTACTTTCGTGATATAAATAATTAAATATTGCTATATTTCTGTTTATGTGGCAAGGCTTTATTGCAAAGGTCCATGTCATGTAAATTGAAATTTAATTATGAAATACATTCTCATGAAACTCGTAATGCTGGTAATTTTCATTTTCCTAAAATTCCGTACAAATTAATGTTTTAAAGGGCCAGTTTTATGGAAAAATATCCCGTTTAATATGAAAAACTCTAAATAAATTAGTATTTTTAAACGATTGTATAAATCCCATATTCTATCATTGTATTCCAGTCAAAATAAATGACATTACGTTTAAGTTAATGCACTTCTCCTTCCCTTTTTTCTTCTTCTTGGTGTTCAGGCTCCCTCTGCTTTCCCTTTCCCTTTTTTTCTTTTCTCAACAATACAGTATATACTTGCTAAGGGATTGACGCTAATAAGGCTAATTGCCCTTTTTGTTAACCCCACATTTTTCATGTAATCAATCTTTTATTGAGAGCGAGTTCTGTGTGATCCTGTATAGACTGGATATTACGCTAAGCGATAGGATCGCTGATAAGATAAAATTTCATTTGACTCTATGGACCCCCTTCAGGGGTATGATAGCACTACATATTTACAACACAATACAGAAAAATATATAAAACAAAGTATATGATAATAAAATACATAGACATGATTATATACATTTTTATATTTCTAAAACACAATAAACATGAGCTAAAGACTAAGTATACCCTACATACAATTTAAAGTTATAAGTCTAAAATATCACGTGGATTGGTTTGTCTACCACTACGAGTAGGCCTATTACACTTTTAGTAACAAAAATAGGACCACGCCTTTTAGCATTATGATCCAACAAAAAGAATTGTATTATAACTGTTATTAATTTTACGAGTTTTCTTAATTGCTTAACGCTAGATATACCATGTTTGTATGTTTTAATATTTTTTTAATGGAGAATGATATCAAATGAATTGAATTGAATGGAACGTTCCATATCCTCTCGATTTCTATCCTGAGGTCTTCATACTTGAGACGTCTCTTTCTTTGATGGCGATGTTGATGTCATGGGGAACGATGACCTCGATGAAATTTACTTTGTTGTTGTCCCTGAAGACAATGTCTGGATTCTTGCAGTTATTATTAGTACTTTTTATTATTGTTGTCGTCATCATCATCACCGTCGTCGTTAAATTGTAATCATCATCATCATTATTATTATTATTATTATTAGTAGTAGTAGTAGTAGTAGTAGTAGTGAAGTAGTAGTAGTACTATATTTCAGTGGGGAATATATTTGTTGTCACTGCCAGGATTACCAAAGAGGCCGGGACGAGCATTCCTGACATCGCAACCAGTTTGGCGCGCCGGAAGCACTTTGGGATTGGGTTGGGTCACTTGGGTGGGGGGTGGGGAATATTCCAGGGGGCTCACCCTCCAGGGGCAGTGGCGTAATGCGCAAAAACGTTTTTGGGGCAGAAGAAAAATCTGCATCGCCACCACTCTTACACGTAACATGCAGGCCCCTGGCGGAACGTTTTTTGAAGTGGAGTATCAACAATCTGATAGAGCGTATATAGTGAGCAAAGTGAGTTGAGCGCAAATTGACGTGGAGTGGGGTCCAGGGGTCAAGGGGTGGAGCCCCCAGAAGCTCATGGGTTTTATGTATGTATACTTACGGTCCGATGAGCATCCATGGGCCCACGTTAGGGCCCTTAGTGGGTTCCAGAGGACGGAGCCCCTGTAAGCTCAGGGGATTTAGGCATTTAATTACGCCAAGATGAGCATATTTTGAAACATCATTTGTGAAACTAGCAGGCCACTCGTTCTTTCTTCCTCTTTCTCTTTAACATACTTTTTCAAAAAGTGCAGGCCCTGCCATAAAGGCTTCAAAATAAGCTGATCCAATCTGATCCACTCGCTCGACAAAAGCAATGTAATCGAGCCATCACCAAAGAACGCCGCCGCCGCGAAAAAAGCGTTTGGTAGACCAGTGCTTCCAGTATCCTACCATAAAAAAATTCTGGGACAGAAAAATGCAGCTGTTATAGACCTCTAGATCAAAAGTATATTATTGTTACAAGGGAAATCAACTTTATTATTTTTAATGACTGTTTATAAAAGCACGAAAATCATGAAAAATGACAATTTCATTTCAATATATATTATTGTTACAATTAGGGAAATCAACTTTATTCTTTATTCTTTGTAATGACTGTGTTTATAAAAGCACGAAAATCATGAAAAATGACAATTTCATTTCATTTTAGATCTAGAAATCATGATGGGAAAAAGTGTGGCGAGTTGTCCGAAAAGGCTGTGGCGAGTTGTCCAGGGTATTGTGGCGGGTTGTCCAGGGTATTGTGGCGGGATGTCCAGGGTATTGTGGCGGGTTGTCTTGGGGCGGGTTGTCTTTGTGGCGAGTTGTCCAGGATTCGTACAAGCTTGTAAGAAGGAAGGCATGTATTTTCAAGTAATTCCAGTATTATGCAGTGATAAAAGTAAATACACAAACAGAATTAAAACTTACCCTATTAACTGTTGATGCACATTTCTACTCCTGGATTTGTGCACATGGTTTAAAATGTAACTCAATTTACTAATTGACTACAGGCATCCAGATTTGACAATCTTTACCAACTGTCAGTGTGCATTTCAGAAACACAGAACAAACATTTCGTTTCAATTTCATTTATCAAACAAAAAAGAAAAATACATACCAAAACAAGACTTTTTTCAGGCCAATCTTACAAAGAGTTGATATCAATCACAAAGTTCTATGTACATAAGAGATAGGAGACGGCAAACTTGCGATTGATGAGAGGACTTCGCAACTCTTTGTAAGACAGGGCCCTGATGTTATAGATAATAGATATTTCCCCAATATTAGCCTCCCTATTGGCCTCCCTTTTGGCTGCCTATATAGTAAATTAGTGGATAAATTATTGTTTTTTAACCAACGAAATTCTCAAACACAACAAAATATGGGGGTTGACAATTGTCTAACAATTCAAAGAGATTGAGACTTACCATTATGCTGCTAAACCAGAGATGATTTTCATGTATTGTGTAGATGCAGGTATAGTAGGCGAACCCCAACAGCAGAGCTAGAGTGACTCCTACTACATAGCTAAGGCTTATCAAGAACCATCTTAATGCCTCTTCTTCATAATCATCATCAACAACTACCTGCACGTCATCATCATCATCATCATCATTGTCTTCATCAATGTTCAAATCCACCTCGTCCTCCTCATCATCATCTGTGTCATCATGCACAGTTCTTTTTCTGGTCTTCTTTCCTGATTTCTCTTTTAGATTGCCATTTTTATTCTTGTGCAGACCCGCTTTCTTGCGTCGGCTTGGAGATTTCTTCACGGTTCCCTCCTCATCTTCCCTGTCGGCTTCGGTTGGGTCCGGTCCTGGAGGGTGCGCCTTGCGTCGGCTCCGGGACCTGGGTTGCCTGGGTGGCCTGGGTTGATTTATAGACATAACGACAGGTGCTACATCAAAGAAAGAAGAAAAGGAAACTGTTAACCCTTTCTCATTAACCCTTTTTAAGCCACTGCACTGAGAACAATTTCCATAAATTAACTTTAATGAAAGAAAAAAATAGAAGCGACAGTTAACCCTTTCTCGTTAACCCTTTCTAAGCCACTATCACTTAAGAAAAATGTCCATAAATGAAATTTATCAAAAGAGTTAAATCTGAGATGACAATTCTTAGTTTATTGGCTTTATTTCTTCCATGGAACAACAGGAAAATAGCATCAGAAGCACTTGCCTAATGTTCTAGGGCAACTAGCATCCAGCATGAACGTGTACCTTGAAAAAGCACTTGCAAGTCAATTGTTCAATAAAATAAAATTACGAGATCATATACTGTTCGGATTATTATCAAAAAGGATTGAAAAAAGAGCTGTTCAAACTATGCATGTATGATAAATGCAGAAAATTGTCTGTTTATACAGTCATATGGATACGGTAATATTGGAAGTTAGCAAAACTGTATAACATTATTATTAATTTGATAGGATTTGAAATTATCCAAATTATGGAAAATTATTTTTGATATGATTGGAAGTTATCTAAATTGTGGAACATTATTATTGATATGATTGGAATTTATCAAAATTGAGGAAGATTATTATCGATTCCTAGACAAATTTAAAAGACATAAATACTTCATATGATAAAAGGAGATATGGTAAGAAATTATAGAGTTCAATATTTAAAAAGAATTAAGTTAGTAATGTTAAATGTTGTGAGAAAGAATACCAATAAATGATGGTGTATCCAATAGTATTCAATGGTGAAATCCCCCCCCAAAAAAGTAATAGTCAATAGAATTAACAACAGATAATTTTGTTAGTTGAAAGACAACATGATTTTTATAAAATTGTTATAAAGATACAGAAATCATTTTTTAAGGACACCAACAGTACATATTGAATTAAAGGACAATCCAACATTTGTAATACGTTCATTTGTTTAAATGCAGAACAATAGGAGAAACAGAATGGAGAAAGTTTTTAATTAATTGGACCAATTATAACAGAGAAATGAATGTTTCAAAATATGGAATCACTAATTCTATGCAGGGGGGGGGGGGGGGGGAGCGATGGGGGCGGTCCCCCCTCCCCCCAAAAAACAAAACATGGATAAACAGTCAAGAACGGTACAATAATTCATCTTCTTTCTCCCTTATAGTTTAAAGACACATCAAAGCTTCAAGGGGGGGGGGGGGGGGCGAAAAATGTTATAAGACGAGGAAGGGTCCAGAATGGTACAACGAATCAACTTCTTTCTCTAATAATTTAATGAAACATCAAAAATTCTGCGCTTTGAGGAAGTCGATTCATTGTCGATTCGATGTACCGTTCTTGAAATTGGATACAGACAAATTAAAGAGTCAAAAACGGTACAACGAATCATCTTCTTTTAGTCTAGTAATATTCTAATATTACGTCAACCCCCCTCCCTGCACGCACCCCCATAGGGAGCATGCTCATTATGGCCCCCCCCCCCCCGAAATAAAATCCTAGCTACGTGGTTGACATGTGTAACTTTTGACGCCTGCATTTATTGCAAGTCTCGCTTGCATCTTCTCAACCCTTCTTCAATCTTTGTTCTTCTTCAAATTTCAATCGTCTTTCCAGCAGACGTTAGCCTTGGCTTAGGAATAGGAGTTAGGATACATAGCATAGATCCTGGTACTTGAAATATCCATACATCGAAGACAAACATGTAGCTGTCTCCTTCTTCACTTTGGTTTCAAGCAACGCTACGCAACCAAAATTTCAAAAGGTCCAAAATCTCGCGACCTCATTCAGCTGCACGGACACGGCTTGAGAGCGCGAGCCTAGGCCATGCCAAGCCGGAGTTGCTGGCGGGCAGTCGGGCTATCTGCTCGATCGATCAAACAACAAACACACACACAAGTCAATGCACAAACATGGCATTAGAAAATTCAAATTTTACGTGCAATATTACAATCCCATTTTAATTTACAAGAAATTCTATACTTACTACAATCTGTCGCCAATATTTTGTTACGTCTTCTGTAAGAAATCAGAGGTTGAACGGTCCCAAAATGTAAATTCACAGAGCAGACGACGAGTCTGTCAATCAAAAGGGAAAAAAAGAACACAACACATTTATTCGGACAGACTGGGATCCAGCCGTTAGATATTAATTGTATGGAAATACTCTCTCTCTCTCTCTTTCTCCTTTTTTCCTTTGTGACATTACCAGAACAAAACTTGTTTTGTTATCCATTAAAAAATATTTTTTACTTTCCAAATGTTCAGTCCTCATCGCATTTCTATTTGAATTCAATTAATGACAAAGATAGTAATACATAATTTTAAAAAATAATTTACGGCGAGTATAAGAGCAAGGTTATGGAGATGTGACAGATAACACACCGTAGAGGTGTGTTAGTAAGCAAATAACTACCGTTGGTGAAGGTGATGGGACAAACTATCACTTCCGAGGCGATCTGGATGTAGCTATCTTTCCGAAGCGAAGCTGAGGAAAGATAGCGTATACATTCTGATCGACGAGGAAGTGATAGTTTGCCATCGCCTAAAACCAAAAGGTGATTATTTGCTTTATATTCCACATCTAAAACAATTTAACTACAAAAATAAAAGGACGTGTATGCATCTACATGAAAGACACCAGGCCCAAATTCACACCAAAAAAATTAAAAGTTTAACCCAACCCTTGAGGATCTAGGATACAGTGCGCGCATGTGTTTGCTTTAATACACCAGTTTACAGTTGTATCAGTGCGCATGCGCAGACAGTTGATCTCGGGTCACTGGCCCCGGAAGCGGGGTCAGTGGCCCCGGAAGCGGGGCCAATAACTTTTGACCAGTGGTATTTATGCGTAAATTAAGATTGCGCCCATGCAAATGATGATGTGCGCGCACAACGCAGCGCGTAGGGCAGTGATATCATCAAAATTTGCATGGGCGCAATCCTAATTTACGCATAAATACATGACCTCTAGGTCATTGGCTTTGTTTAAAATGGCGCACACAACTGTAAACTGGTGTATACACCAGTTTACAGTTGTATCAGTGCGCATGCGCAGACAGTTGACCTCGGGTCATTGGCCCGGAAGCGGGGCCAATAACCTTTGACCAGTGGTATTTATGCGTAAATTAAGATTGCGCCCATGCAAATGATGATTTGCGCGCACAACGCAGCGCGTAGGCAGTGATATCTTTGCATGGGCGCAATCTTAATTTACGCATAAATACATGACCTCTAGGTCATTGGCCTTGTTTAAAATGGCGCACACAACTGTAAACTGGTGTATTGCGCTCATTGGTAATGCGCGCTTAATTACGCCTGTTTTAGTGCGCTTTTGGATAATCTTCAGTGAAAGTACGTTGCCCTGTGTAGAAAGTACCTCTACCTTCAGTGAAAGTGCGTTGCACTGTGTAGATAGTAGTACTATCTACACGGTGTAACGAACTTTTTGCTTCTCCCATAAATAATGGGCGAGCTATCTTTCATCACGTCATTTACTTTTGACCAATCGTAGAGCAAGATTCTTAGTATGTGGAATATAATAGTATATCTCTATGAATGACACACGCCCTTAAGACTAAAACAACAACAACAACAACAACATAAGCGATGAAGAAAAAAAATATCCTTAAGTTACCCCGCGAGGTAGCGAAGCAACCGAACAGGAGAGGGTGTTCGTGTTGGAGGGGGTTATTGATATACCATCCAACGTGTTATGGAGAAAGGAAAAGTAGGCATTTATCATCAGGGAAAAGGACAGTTATAAGAATAGAAAAGGTGCTCGATCCAGGGGCGTCGCTAGACCTTTCTCAGTGGGGGGGGGGGGGGGGGGGTGTAGAGGCCAACGATTACCGACAAAACTAGCCACCAATTACCGACACAATTAAATGTCCCAATATCTACAAATTTTACCATATAAACCCGGGGCCGAAGGCTAAATTGTTTTTCCTATGGACTATCTATAGTACTTGCGTATGCGCAAGTGGTCATTTTCCTAGATGACATAAATATACGAATTATTTCGTCAACTTAGTCAGCTTTATAGCTATATATTTCAATGGTGGGGGCATAGGATCTTATTGGTGTGAGTGAAAGGCAAAGAAAAGAAAAGAGAAGAAAGAGAGAAAAAAGAGGGAGGAGAGGAAAAAAGAAGAAAAAAGAGAAAAGGGAAACAAAAGAAACGGGGGATGAAAGAGAGGAGAAAGAGGGGAGCTAAGAGCCTGAGATAAAAGTAGTGGGAATAAAAGAGAGAGAGGGGGGTTGTTGGGTGGAGTCGTCCCGTCGAGGGAGCAAGAAAGACACGGGTAAATATATTGCTGTGTCGGATCAGCTGTGTCGGTATTCTTGCTCGATCCTCGCGTACTATATATCAATGCAGAAGTTTGAAGTCGGTGAGATTTTTTTCCCCTACGAACTGTGACTTTTTATCCGCTGTGACGACTTCGTATTTTCTCGAAGTTTCACTTTCCTATAATATCAGCTTAAGAAATCAGAGGTTTAAAATTTTCGGGGAAACCGTAAATTCAAACAAGGATTAGGAGTCAACAACGGTACGACGAATCGTCTTCCTTTCTCTATAATGTTGATGAAACGCCAAAAATTCCGCACTTCGCGCGGGAGGGGAAAACTTCATTAAGAAGAGTCGCGAACGGTACAACGAATCGTCTGCTTTCTCTAATAATTTAAGGAAACATCAAAGCTTCCGCGCTTCGCGCGAGAGGGGAAACTTAATTCAGATAAATAGGGCTTATTAATAGTCGAAAACGGTACAACGAATCGTCTGCTTTCTCTAATAATTTAAGGAAACGTCAAAGCTTCAGCGCTTCGCGCGAATGGGGGAAACTGAATTCAGATAAATAGGGCTTAATAAGAGTCGAAAACGGTGAAACGATCGTCTTCTTTCTATACTAATTAAATCAAACGTCTAAGCTTTACGCGCTTCGCGCAGGAAGGGGGAAACTGAATTCAGACAAGGATTAAGAGTCTAGAACAGTACACCCAATCGTCTGCTATCTCTAATAATTTAAGGAAACGTTAAGGCTTCCGCGCTTCGCGCGGGAAGGGGGAACTGAATTCAGATAAATAGGGCTTATTTAGAGTCGAAAACGGTACAACGAATCGTCTGCTTTCTCTAATAATTTAAAGAGATGGTTTATTGATTTCAAACTTGACTGAATTTGGTATCATTGCAATCGAAAAATTACACTGAGTAAAATAATTACATTTGTGTAACTTGTACATTCGAGCGAAATTTATAAAAGTTGATTGAACTTGACGAAAAGTCAACCCACTCAACGCCCCGAAAACATCGTAAGTCAGCTGATTTTTGAAGTGACGTCACAATATGAACAGCGGGCCGCTCAGCTGAAGTGATTGACGACGGTGCGAGATGCAGTTTGCGTGCGATTCACATGTATTGCATTGACTCTCGAGTACCATACCCATTTATACCTAACGCTGTTTACCTTCATCAAAATCCCCTGGAAATATAGATATGGACGGAAACATACTTTAGTATACTCCAGAAGGCTCCTCCATGGCATGGTTTTGGTTCTTAATATGACGTTAGTCTAGATAAAAGGTATATAACTTCCAAAAAACGAGTGAATATATCGTTGATGTAGCGTTCAAGTTTCCCGTAGCTAATAGCTGTGCGTGCGTACTCTGTGTATGTGTGTGCACAGGGGCGTAAATCCGTACCGAGGAGTGGGGGGGGGGGGGGGATGAACGGCGATAGCCATCACATACTAGCATGAGCACACGCCCACACTAATTTACGCAAGCGCGCGCGATCGCGCACGCACAATCACACAACACACACACACACGCACACGCTCGCTCATTAGGGGTGTGTGGGTGATAGGCCTACCGTGCTTGTAACTTTACGAAGAATGGGCCAAATTTCTTATCATTTTGATGATTCCAGAACCTTGCAGATGCTAGATGCTAGATGATCAACCTTTTCTGATCGATTCCACAACGTTTATTTCACGATGCAATCGCATGACCATAACTGGTCTTTACCTTTAATTCTCGTCTGAATTCAGTTTCCCCTCCCGCGCGAAGCGCGAAAAGCTTAGACGTTTGATTTAATTATTATAGAAAGAAGACGATTCGTTGCACCGTTTTCGACTCTTAATAAGCCCTATTTATCTGAATTCAGTTTCCCCCTCTCGCGCGAAGCGCGGAAGCCTTGACGTTTCCTTAAATTATTAGAGAAAGCAGACGATTGAGTGTACTGTTCTCGACTCTTAATTCCCGTCTGAATTCTGTTTCCCTTTCCCGCGCGAAGCGCGAAAAGCTTAGACGTTTGATTTAATTATTATAGAAAGAAGACGATTCGTTGCACCGTTTTCGACTCTTAATAAGCCCTATTTATCTGAATTCAGTTTCCCCCTCTCGCGCGAAGCGCGGAAGCCTTGACGTTTCCTTAAATTATTAGAGAAAGCAGACGATTGGGTGTACTGTTCTCGACTCTTAATTCCCGTCTGAATTCTGTTTCCCTTTCCCGCGCGAAGCGCGAAAAGCTTAGACGTTTGATTTAATTATTATAGGAAGAAGACGATTCGTTGCACCGTTTTCTACTCTTAACAAGCCTTATTTATCTGAATTCAGTTTCCCCCTCTCGCGCGAAGCGCGGAAGCCTTGACGTTTCCTTAAATTATTAGAGAAAGCAGACGATTGGTTGTACTGTTCTCGACTATTATTTCCCGTCTGAATTCAGTTTCCCCCTCCGCCCCCCCCCCCCCCCTCCCGCGCGGAAGTTTTGGCGTTTCATTAAATTATAAGAGAAAGTAGACGATTCGTTGTACCGTTTTCGACTCTTAATAAGCCCTATTTATCTGAATTCAGTTTCCCCCTCTCGCGCGAAGCGCGGACGCCTTGGCGTTTCCTTAAATTATTAGAGAAAGCAGACGATTGGGTGTATACTGTTCTCGACTCTTAATTCTCGTCAGAATTCAGTTTCCCCTTCCCGCGCGAAAAGCTTAGACGTTTGATTTAATTATTATAGAAAGAAGACGATTCGTTGCACCGTTTTCGACTCTTAATAAGGCATATTTATCTGAATTCAGTTTCCCCCTCTCGCGCGAAGCGCGGAAGCCTCGACGTTTCCTTATCGTGACATACTGTATACGTGTAGGCTATACATAAACAAAATAACTCATTTCTCATGCATTATGCTGCAATAAATATTGAAAACAATCACATTTTTTTTCTTCTTCTTCTTCTTCCTTTTTTTTCCTCTCTTTTTTTGGTAATATCAGGGGGGGGGGGATGATTGTACAGGTCATCCCCCCTACTTCAAACCAGGGGGGGGGATGCAGCCCCCCCCCCCCCCCCCCCCCCCCATCCCCCCCCCCCCCCCCCGGGATTTACGCCCCTGTGTGTGCAATGCACTGACCTCTATGCGTGCATCACATCTATAGCGCAGCTTGCTAGCCAGCCTAGCCCTCAGCCCGGCGCTCGAGCTAGCCGTGAATCGCGAACCGGACTGATCTGTTTCTCTCGGTTTATCAGGTCCTATACGACTTAATTTATCAAAAATGTAAATTAATCAGCCTAAGTACACACTTTTGTAATGAATATCTGGACAATTCTATGTAAATTTGTCGCCGATTTTACTCCAAAAGAGTCGTTAGGTCAGCATGCAAAATGTCCTTTGCCTTCCCAGATCAAACACATACACGCTGAAGTGCCCTCAGAATATGTGATTATTTTTTTCCGATTTTTATGCTCAAGTGTGACGGGAAAAAAAAAAAAATCAAACAAACATTTGTATAAAGTATCATTTATTCAGTGTATCTCATTCAAAATGCCAAAAATAGAGGAAATATCACCACTGGCGGTAAATGTACAAACAACGTTAACCCATATCTGAAAATTGCAATGGGTATCCAACATTGTCCCGAATGTGTGATGTAGGTTGTTCATATTGTGACGTCATCGTTTCGCGTGTAAAATAACGCCGTCAATTCACTTTGTGAGTGGGTTCAGTAAAGGGTAACAACATTGCATTTAATTTATTCCTCACAACAGTGACGGCTTCAAAAGTACTTTGATCATTTTGTTAATGTTCTCAGCAATCTGTAGAGGTGTAATTTGCCCACTTTCCACATTTCAATGAACCATCTCTTTAAGGAAACGTCAAAACTTCCGCGCTTTGCGTGGGAGGGGGCAACAGAATTCAGACAAGGATTAAGAGTCGAGCACGGTTTAACGAATCGTCTACTTTCTCTTATAATTTAATGAAATGTCAAAGCTTCCGCGCTACGCGCTAAATGGGGAAACTGAATTCAGACAAGGATTAAGAGTCGAGAACAGTACACCCAATCGTCTGCTTTCTCTAATAATTTAATGAAATGTCAAAGCTTTCGCGCTACGCGCGGGAGGGGGGGGGGGGGGGGGGGAACTCGTTCATTCAGACAAGGATTAACAGTCGAGAACGGTACAATAAATCGTCTTTTCCTAATAATTTAAGGAAACGTCTAAGCTTCCACGCTTCGCGGGGGGGGGGGGGGCCTATCCCCAACACCCCCTAATGAGCGCGCTTCTTGCGTTCTTTAAGTGATTCGCTTGCTCACTACCGCCCCTCCCTCCCTCCCCCCTAGCCCCGCGTCTGCATTCAAATATATAGCTATGATGCTGACTAAGTTGACGAAATAATTCGTATATTTATGTCGTCGAGGAAAATGACCATTTGCGCATACGCAAGTACTATAGATACAAGATAATTTATTTGGTCTTTGCAACAAGTTACATAGAAAATTGTTTTCCACTGGCGTTACAGTCATAATTATTCAACAAAATACATAATTTCAAGAACTAAATAAATCACGTTTATAGAATGAAATAAGGAACAAATACATGAAAAAGATAATGAAGCGACAAAAATGGTCATTGGTACATGTACTTCAAATCATGAGTTTCAGAATTAAGCATTGGTCATTGGTATTTCAAATCATACAATTAATTTCCGACGCAGAAGTTTAACGTTTAACCTGTGAGTTGAATTTAATATGAACAGATAGTCCGTAGGAAAAACAATTTAGCCTTCGGCCCCGGGTATATATAGGGTTAAATTAATATTGGGACATTTAACTTTGTCGGTAATTGGGGGCTAGTTTTGTCGGTAATCGTTGGCCTCTACACCCCCCCCCCCACTGAAAGAGGTCTAGCGACGCCCCTGGTCGCACCCCACCCCCCCCCCCTTTGGCGACGCCCCTGTATATCAGAACTGCATATTGTAATAACATAATAATAATGGTGGCTTTTTATATAGCGCACATGTCCGTCACGTCGTGATGCTACTGGCGCTGCCCCGATTATTACCCTGGATTTAGCAAGGCGTAGTACATTACGGCGCTTTAGCATTTCAAGGAATAAATTCCTGCCAGGTACCCATTTACCTCACCTGGGTTGAGTGTGGCAAATGTAGATCAATCAATTCCGAGATTCTCATGGTCGCAGCTACCATGGAATGGCCTTAGGAGCTATTTGAAATATTTGAAATTTACAGGGAGCACCGGCAAATTTCGATTATTCAATTTCTCGAAAGCAGAATTGTATTAGGGTCTAAATTTGGTAGTGCTTTACTTTACTATAATTACTATCCATGCAATTTTCAACATTTCTCAAAACTTTGCATTACTCGAAGGATATTTTAGAAAATGGACGTTTAATATTCGAAAATCAACTTTGTAATGTACTTGGTTTGAACTAATCGTTGATTGACTTCATGTATTCAAATCTAAAGAAAGCGATCTCTACAACATGGATCACAATAATTATTGCAGAAGTCAATCGGCAAGATTTCGAAACAGGTGTTATGCACGATTATGAAAATGACTTTATTGAAATCAAAACAGATGATGCTGTTGGATTGTCAACCATGAAATCAAAACAAAAATTTAAGTATATCATGTGAATTTAAGAAAAGTAATCGTATTGTATTATGGCATTGGAAAGAATAATTTAACTTTCCCGTGGATTTTGAGTGGAAAAAGAATATTGACATTTTAAACAAAAGTACTAAAAACCAATAAAGTGAAACGATTTAATTCTAAAGCACAACCCGTACACTAGCTTTCAGATATAAGTTATGTAAATGGAAAATTGTAAGTGATAATTTATGTACGTTTTGCTGTACAACCGAAGGCATTGGAAAGAATAATTTAACTTTCCCGTGGATTTTGAGTGGAAAAAGAATATTGACATTTTAAACAAAAGTACTAAAAACCAATAAAGTGAAACGATTTAATTCTAAAGCACAATCCGTACACTAGCTTTCAGATATAAGTTATGTAAATGGAAAATTGTAAGTGATAATTTATGTACGTTTTGCTGTACATTCGAAGGCATTGGAAAGAATAATTTAACTTTCCCGTGGATTTTGAGTGGAAAAAGAATATTGACATTTTAAACAAAAGTACTAAAAACCAATAAAGTGAAACGATTTAATTCTAAAGCACAACCCGTACACTAGCTTTCAGATATAATTTATGTAAATGGAAAATTGTAAGTGATAATTTATGTACGTTTTGCTGTACGACCGAAGGCATTGGAAAGAATAATTTAACTTTCCCGTGGATTTTGAGTGGAAAAAGAATATTGACATTTTAAACAAAAGTACTAAAAACCAATAAAGTGAAACGATTTAATTCTAAAGCACAACCCGTACACTAGCTTTCAGATATAATTTATGTAAATGGAAAATTGTAAGTGATAATTTATGTACGTTTTGCTGTACAACCGAATCGTTTGCTCATGTTTTGTTAGAATACACCAAAGAAACATTCTGGAAAAGCATTGTTGCAATTATTCACTTAAAAAAATTACTGATATTAAATCAAAAATACTTGATTCTTGGTATAGATTCTTATTGCCCAAATACAAAAGCAACACATAAAGACAAACTTAATTTCAACTTTTAAGTAAAAACGTTCAACAGTAAATGTAAAGTAAATCATTATCAATTACGTGTTTAGATCCTCTTAATGTAATTTTTGTTGTTAAATAGGTTTATATTCATTTTACAAATCATATAAATGTTGTTGATGTTGTTGAATTGTACAATTATTGAATAAATTACTTCTGAATAGGATTTTTTTTTTTTTTAATCATTAAAATAATTTTTTAAAAGGCCACATAGCCCATCATATTTGATTTGATGTGACGCCTCTTTCAATAAAATCAGGCTGTGATAAGCGAAACAGCAATATTTTCTCCTAACGCTCGTTCAGATATGATGCGCCAAATGATTGTTTTTTGATCAAGTAAACTGCAATACGCGGTACATTTCTGCTTTTTTTGTAAACAGAGCTCAGTAAAATATATTTTAAACCCCTCAAGCCTTGGATTAGGGGTCAAGTGAATTAAACACTGTATCACAACACATCCAGCTGAGGCGGTGCTCAAGGGGGGGGGGGGGGGGGGGTCAGGGGACAGAGTGTCCCCAATAGCTTTTCAGGTACCCCACTGTAATACGTGCCCGTTCTACATTCTTATAAGTGCCCCTAACTTGTGTAAATGCCCCCTTTACCTCTAGTAACTGCCCTTATTCAAATTTGAGAGGTTCTCCTTTTACTTTGACAAGTGCTCCGTTTCCTTTTTTATAAGTGCCCCTTAGCCTTATTTTAAGTGACCCTTATTTAACATACCCCCTGTTTCTTTTTATTAAATGCCCCCTTTTTTGTGCTAAATGCGCCCATTTAATTTAATGAGTGGCCTTCTCCTATTTTTAAAGGTCCCTTCGCACCTCTGATAAATTCCTCTATTTAAGTATGATAGGTGCCCTTTTTAACTTCTGATTAGCGTGGCAAGTTAGGGGCACTTCACCTATGACAAATACCCTGACAATTACCGTAATAACTAACCTGGAAAAATACTCTGGAAAACTACCCTGACACTACCGAGCCGAGCCTAGGTTCTTTATCACCGAGGAGGACCTTTTACCATCATAACACACACTCTTTCTTGTAAACAAATATTCTTTTCTCGTCACACAAGACAAGCTTTCCAGACGGAGTCACCAAGCAAGCACTACGATAGAAAGTCGTGCTTCGGTCGTCGTATCCTACAACCCCTTTCGCCTTGATGATACCCTCCGAAGACATCTGACCAACGGTACATCTACCGCGCTCTTTGCACCAGTTCGTAACAAAGATGGTGTCTGTGAGCGTCTCAGATCGGAATAAAGAGAAGTCGCCTTCGTCGTAGATGTAAGAATTTGTTTCTCCGTTTCTTGCGATGACGGTGACTTCGCAAGCACCACTGCGTGCGATGATGCTACCCGAAGACAAAGCATGGATTCTACCTCGGACTTCCTTCCCCGTGAACGTGATGGTGTTCTCGATCTCGCCATCAGCAGGGTTGATGACATGGATGTTGGACTGTCCAAACAGAGCTGCAAGGATCTTTCCATCCGAGCCAACGTCGACATACGCGTAATCACAATTAACCTTTCTCGGTATAGGGATGGTTCGAATCTGATTCCATTTGTCGTCGTGTATGGTTACGCAATTGTCCAAAACGTCTCCAGTGCATCCTTTGCAGAACTTACCACACGCGACCCTGTATCTATCAATGGAGGAACAAGAGACGAAGAATGTACCAGGAGTACCCTTAACGACCCTCGTGGATGTTCCTAGGCTTAGATCGATGACATATAGCCCCATGTCATTGCTGTCGTGGTTTGTAACAGCAATGCTGTCATACCCCACTAACCCGACAAACTTCGGCACGTTCAAAGGATTTTCAAATTTTTGAACTTCAATAGTTTTGATGAGTTTCCACTGCATTGAAGGATAGTCTAGCCTCCCACAAAAGGAACTGTTGATGTGGCCCTTGATGAAAGTGAGTCTATCAAGTGTGTTTAGCAAACACCAAGCTGATTGGTAGCCCTGTTCATCGTGTAACGAACCAAGTAATTCTAAAACTTGCCGAGTATTTCTAATCAAATATTTATCATCTTGTTTTAGTTTTTTGACGTTGTCACGCTTTTCACAAACCATCTTACGCTTCATTTCTAAGTTCGTCTCTAACTTCGTGATCCCATTGATCCGCGTGATCTCCTCAAGGATCTCGCTCTTCTGCTGTTTCAAAGGTATAATTAGTTTATCACAAAATTGGCAACATAATCTCAACTTTGCCTCCCTCTCCTGATTAATTCGTCGTATTTTGTCATCTGCATCTTCATTAATCACGCGTTCCTTTTCTCGCTTCAAATTAATTTCCCTCTCAATTTTATCATCATAAGCATTTTGAACAGCGCTCCGAATTAATGGTAGACGCGAATCTGCAATTTCTTTGCAGGATTGTATGCATGCTTGAAGATCGAGTAAATGCTTGTTCCCCTCTTCAACCGTCTTGTCTCTCTTCATCTCGTCAAGAAGATCATCTATTGTCTCTAGGTTGCATCGCGTATGGTTCTCGGTAACGCACATGTCACAAATAGCGACCACGTGATATTCGCAGTAGAATCTGACTGGTTTGCTGTGTTTGTCACATGACCACGATGTGTCTCGCCCCCGGTCACGCCTTCTCCAGTTCACTCGCCCTCGTTCAAACGGCCCTGAGAAATCGGACGCCATGTCAGTTATCATGCGATCTGGTCATAGGTCAAAGGAAATATCGTTATTTGATTAATGCCATAACATATATATAATTCTACAACACAAATAGTATATACAAATTTATGCTTGCAAGTGCATTAGACAATATGCACTGCACGCAGGTCAAGCCACAATAGGCCAGGCAATGAACGAGACTTGTCCAGTTCATGATCCAGTTAAGTATGACTTATCCAAGTGAATTGCAATTTGCTTATCACTAATACACAAGCTTCAAAACATATATTATTTGTTTTATAAAACGGGTGGGCAAATATAAATGGAAGTCTACAAAATTAATAAGCAATTAACATACCTGATCAAAATGCCAAATGTCGCACACTATTTGGCCAACCGTTTGCTATGAATGACGTAATTACGGAACTAGTTAGTGCATAGGTTTATGGGATAGAGGTTCACGTCTTGGCATTGTGATATGTTTTGCATACAATAGTCGTAATACAGTCAAGTCCTGATATAATACAACCCCTTGGGGCCTTGTAGCTATGTTACAAATGAATTACATTGAAATTGTAATAATTTCAAGTTTCAGATCAGACCATTAGACCGTAAACTCTATTCTTAAATTCTATATTCTGAATTACAAAGTTTTGTTATTTTAATAAGAATACAAAAATTAGACTTAATTTCTATTATCCCTGCCCCCTGCAACTGAGAGGGGTTGAAATGGCTTTTAAAACGACACTGGTTTGGGCTCTGAAAAGAGAGAGAGAGAGAGAGTGCGGCTGGGGGGGGGGGGGAGGGGGGTCAAATGAAGAAAAAAAAAGTAAGCTGAACACCCCCCCCCCCCCAACAAAAAGGAGAATGATAAATACCAAATGCTACCATTTTCATTTGGTTTTAACAAGAAGCAACATGTCTGAGCAAAGATGGCGGACCTTGATGGGCCTATAGCTGCAGTGGACTATGTGTGGGGATGATCACCACACCACCGTTTAGCACACTATATTGTCTGGAACCAGTTACCTGGACAACTAAGCCAGTATCATGTCTCACTTCAGTGCTTAAATGCACATTTAACAATGTTTCAGAAATTATGTTTGCTTTGTTCACGCTCAACTAGTTCCAGCACAATGGAACCGTTGTTATTACTTTTATTTGTTATGGTTCCATCCGTACAAGAGCCACGTCGTATAAATGCACAATCGAGCTTCGATCCGGGCCAAAAAAGAGAATTAGGGTACAGTATAGTGCATGACGCGGCGCTATACACAGATATCATAGGACATAATGTATTCAGGGTCTTATGCCTATATAGACTTTCCACATAATCGTAGTTGCTATGTCAGGCAACCACCTGGCATGCTTTTAAGTACGTTAATTTCATTCGAAATGAATACATTAAAATAATAAGCATGTGATCAGTCTTTACTGTACTCCGGTCATATGTTTTTATCCATGTAATTCGATATCAACATCCTGCACTATTCAGAACAGAAACCATAATCTATAGCGCTTACAATAGCAAAATGAAAAAGAACTAGCTCTTCTTCTTCTGGTCATCAACAAATCGGTGCGGGATTTACAAGTCTCATACTATAGTTTCATGGTTGGAAATGTACATGTGATTATATATAGCTGTAGTTGTGATATACAGGAGTATATACATGCATGCACTATATATCACGTCACCGATTAGCTGGTTCGCTCCCTATAATATCTTCACAACGTAGTCGTTGTGCAAATAAATGGTAATATATCAAGTAGCATTATACATTAACGGCGAACAAATTAGGTAATGTGCAGTACCTTACCAATCCTCGCCAATGAAGCTTGAGGCCTGTACCATATATCTGTCATGCAGCCGTCAACGTAGCCCAAATATCGGATCACAGCAAAAATATACATGTGACATGTGTGCGTGTGTGCAGTAGGGTGTGGCGGGTACTGAAAGAAGCCTTGGTCCAACCGAACCGAAACCGATTACTCTCTATCTCTCAATTCTTTCATGATACATATAATATACAGTGGCGGACCCAGTGGGGGGGGGGCGGCGAAACAGCCGCCCCCCCCTATTGGAGGCGCAAAAAAGGGGAAGGAAAAAGAGGAAGAAAAGAAGAGGGAAAAAAAGAAAGGAGAAGAGAAGAAAAAAGGAGAAGAGAAAAGAAAAAGGAGAATTAAGAGGAAAAAAAGGAGCAGAGCAAAAAAAAAGAGAAAGAAAGAAAGAAGAGAACAGAAACAGAGAGAGAGAGAGAGAGAGAAGAAAAAAAGAGAAAAGAAAAAGAAGAAAGCCTATCCCCCTTATCCCCCTTCCCCCCCTCCCCCCCCCCCCCCCCCCCTCCGACCTTCCCAGGGCCGGATCCAGCCGGCGGCAGGGGAGGGGGCCCAATTCGTGAGAAAATATTTAGCGGCGAAACAGCTGGCCGATAATTCGATCGGTGGGGGGGGGGGGGAGGGGTAGTGAGCAGTAATTTTTTGTTTGGTAATCGAAAATTTGAATAATCGCACCCCCCCCCCCTTTCATCGCGAAGGAAGGGGGCCCATCTCCAAAAAAGGTAATATTAAAGATAAAGATCAGTTCTGGTCAAGCGATTGCATTGTGAAAAGAAACGTTGTGGAATCGATCCAAAAAGGTTGATCTAGCATATAAGTTTTGGTGTGTACTGTAAGGTTCTGGAATCATCAAAATGATAAGAAATTTGGCCCAGTCTAGTCTTTGTAAAGTTACAAGCACTGTACACAGAAAGATGTATATGGGACTATGCACACATGCGCGAAATGTGCGTAATATCTATCACCAGGCGCGTACGCAGGGGTTACCACCCCCCCCCCCTTGAGTTTTTTATGTGTATGTTTTGTGTATGTGTTTTGTGAACCCCCCCTTTTGAGTTTCTTTTTATTTTTTATTTTTATTAAAAAAACAAACAAATTATACCAATGGCTGACCTAAAAAAAGGTGACCTCCCCCCCCCCCCCCCCACCCCCAACGGAACAAAATGTCAAAATTTCGAGACAAAAAAAAATAATAAGTGTCCGCTTACCCCCCCCCCCCCCCCCCCCCAATGAGCGACTTTCGGCGCGATTTTCAAATTTTCGGGAGCAAAATAATAAAGCTGAGTCGTTGCGAAATTTTGGGCCCGATTTTAACCCCCCCCCTTGAAAAAATCCTGCGTACGCCACTGTCTATCACCTATCACGCACAATGTCAAATTAATTATAGAGACCCGTTTTAGGAGCTTCAAACTCTTGTCATGGACCTACCATAGCTGCATGCACGCTTCGAATAATTATTGTCGTGATCGCTCAGAATAAGGTCGGATATTCCGGTTTTTTAAAGGGATTGTTGAGTTTTGTTGCAGATTATAATTTCTTTGCGAGATTATGAAAAACTGAGTGTCAAGCTTGAAAGAACATACAATTAACTATCAAAATCATTGTTGTTTGATAAAAATCGGCTCAGAGATGGCTGAAATATCCATAAATATAACCATTTCTAATATTTGTGAGGCCCCACAATTAATTAATTATTAATTAGTTATGGTCACCGTACTTTTTGACCTGAAATTGACCCGACTGATATTGACTTTGATCATGATAAATATGAATGAGAAATGACTTCCCGTTATGAAGATATGATCATGAGTTGATTTTCACAAAATGGCGCCTAGCAGGCGCGGATCTACGGGGGGGGGGGTTTAGGGGGTTTAAACCCCCCCCCCCCCTTGGGCGGCCCCCCCCCCCCCCAAAAAAAAAAAAAAAAAAAAAGAAAGAAAAAAAGAAAGAAAAAAGAACGCACGCTGGAGAAAAACCCTTTCAAGTGCAAATATTGTGAGAAGATATTCAACTCATCTGGTAACTTAACCAAACACATGATAACTGGATATAACTGTGTATTTACTGTTACTTGATTTAAAAAGACGTTATCATGCACTGCTTTTTATGGTCTCCATTGTGTTAATAGATGCCAGGAAAACATCACTTACGGAGTTCAAATAAACACCCAAAAAAAAATCAGCTCGCCGCTTCGCGGCTCGTGGACGATGCTCCGCATCGTCATTATTTTGGTCAAACCCCCCCTTAGCAAAAAGCTAGATCCGCCCCTGCCTAGATTACGTTATCAGTCAAGGTCAAGATTGAAAACCCTATTTTGCTCTTTCTATATGCCAATACACATGTGTGGCAAATTTCAAGGCATTTGATTGAGCCATTTTCAAGTTAGCGTGCTAACAAAAAAGTGGGTCGAAATAAGAAAGATATTCTGACGAAAACATAAGCCCACCTGATAAAAATAAAAACAAACAAAGAACTAGACATTTGATCGTGCCTAAGATAAATGAGCGTTATCGCAGTAATAATCATATAAGATCATGCATCAATAAGACATCGAAGAGTATCAGGATCATTTACATCCTCATTTTGACCAGAGAAAGGTTTGCCTACCCTTCTACAACCAAGCATTTGATTGGCACTAGAGCCTCACAATTGGCTAAATCGCTATCACCATTGTTGATTGGTATATGATTATGATGGTGATGGGGATAGTCCAATTATGGCGAAGATATTGGTGTAAACTTACTGTGGTTATTTATTTACCATGGCGACGATACATCATGAGCTTTCCCATCATCTCGATCATCATAATATCACAAGTTCATTTTCAGGAACTGTTAGCATATCATCAGAATGATCACCGTGCTTTGTGTGCATCGATTGGAAATTTATATTGTGTTCTCTAGCTATTAAGTATGGTTTGCGTTTTAATGGTCTTTGTGAAACTCCCAACAAGATCAGAGGCGTCGCTAGACCTTTTTCAGTGTGGGGGGGGGGGGGGGGGGGGGGGTTAGAGGCCAACGATTACCGACAAAACTAGCCCCCAATTACCGACAAAGTTAAATGTCCCAATATTTATAAATTTAACCCTATGTACCCGGGGCCGAAGGCTAAATTGTTTTTCCTACGGACTATCTGTTCATAAATTCAACTCACAGGTTAAACGTTAAACTTCTGCGTCGGAAATTAATTGTATGATTTGAAATACCAATGACCAAGACTTAATTCTGAAACTCATGATTTGAAGTACATGTACCAATGACCATTTTTGTCGCTTCATTATCTTTTGCATGTATTTGTTCCTTATTTCATCTATTTAATTCTATAAACGTGATGTATTTATTTCTTGTAATTATAAATAAGTATTTTGTTGAATATGACTGTAACGCCAGTGGAAAACAATTTTCTATGTAACTTGTTTGCAAAGACCAAATAAAATATCTTGTATCTTGTATCTTGTATCTTGTATCTTGTATCTATAGTACTTACGTATGCGCAAATTTTCCTCGACGACAGAAATATACGAATTATTTCGTCAACTTAGTCAGCATCATAGCTATATATTTTAATGCAGGCGCGGAGCTAGGAGGGAGGGAGGGAGGGAGGGAGGGAGGGGCGGTAGTGAGCAAGCGAATCACTTAAAGAGCGCAAGAATCGCGCTCATTAGGGGGTGTGGGGGATGGGCCCACCGCGCGAAGCGCGGAAGCTTAGACGTTTCCTTAAATTATTATAAAAAGAAGACGATTTGCTGTACCGTTCTCGACTGTTAATCCTTGTCTGAATTCAGTTTCTCCCCCTCCCGCGCAAAACGCGGAAGCTTAGACGTTTCCTTAAATTATTATAAAAAGAAGGCGATTTATTGTACCGTTCTCGACTATTAATAAGCCCTATTTATCTGAATTCAGTTTCCCCCTTTCGCGCGAAGCGCGGAAGTTTTGGCGTTTCATTAAATTATTAAAGAAAGTAGACGATTCGTTGAACCGTGCTCGACTCTTAATCCTTGTATGAATTCAGTTTCTCCCTCTCTCACCCGCGCGAAGCGCGGAAGCCTTGACGTTTCCTTAAATTATTAGAGATAGCAGACGATTGAGGGTACTGTTCTCGACTCTTAATCCTTGTCTGAATTCAGTTTCCCCATTCGCGCGAAGCGCGGAAGCTTTGACGTTTCCTTAAATTATTATAGAAAGAAGACGATTCGTTGCACCGTTTTCGACTCTTAATAAGCCCTATTTATCTGAATTCAGTTTCCCCCTCTCGCGCGAAGCGCGGAAGCCTTGACGTTTCCTTAAATTATTAGAGAAAGCAGACGATTCGTTGTACCGTTTTCGACTCTAAATAAGCCCTATTTATCTGAATTCAGTTCCCCCCCCCCCTCCCGCGCGAAGCGTGGAAGCTTTGACGTTTCCTTAAATTATTAGAGAAAGCAGACGATTCGTTGTACCGTTTTCGACTCGTAATCAGCCCCGTTTATCTGAATTAAGTTCCCCTCTCGCGCGAAGCGCGGAAGCTTTGATGTTTCCTTAAATTATTAGAGAAAGCAGACGATTCGTTGTACCGTTTTCGACTCGTAATAAGCCCCGTTTATCTGAATTAAGTTTCCCCTCTCGCGCGAAGCGCGGAAGCTTTGATGTTTCCTTAAATTATTAGAGAAAGCAGACGATTCGTTGTACCGTTCGCGACTCTTCTAAATGAAGTTTTCCCCTCCCGCGCGAAGTGCGGAATTTTTGGCGTTTCATCAACATATAGAGAAAGGAAGACGATTCGTCGTACCGTTGTTGACTCCTAATCCTTGTTTGAATTTACGGTTTCCCGAAAAATTTTAAACCTCTGATTTCTTTAGCTGATATTATAGGAAAGTGAAACTTCGAGAAAATACGAAGTCGTCACAGCGGATAAAAAGTAACAGTTCGTAGGGGAAAAAACTTGTCGGCCGACCGACGTTATACATCTCACCGACTTCAAACTTCTGCATTGATATAGTACACGAGGATAGAGCAAGAATACCGACACAGCTGACCCGACACAGCAATATTATTTACCCGTGTCTTTCTTGCTCCCTCGACGGGACGACTCCACCCAACAACCCCCTCTCTCTTTAACTCCCACTACTTTTATCTCAGGCTCTTAGCTCCCCTCTCTCTCCTCTCTTTCATCCCCCGTTTCTTTTGTTTCCCTTTTCTCTTTTTACTTCTTTTTTTCCTTTTCTTTCTTTTTTCTTTCCTCTTCTCCCTCTTTTGTTCTCTCTTTCTTTCTTCTCTTTTCTTTCCTTTCTTTTCCTTCCTTTCCTTTCTTTTTCTTTCTTTCTTTTCTTTCCTTTTCCTTTTTTCTTTTCTTTCCCTTTCCCTCCCTTTTTTCCTCCCCCTTTTCTCTTTTTTCCCGACGGCAGCGCAATTTTACCGACAATAACCTGACGCCCCTGGCTCGATCGTGTAAAAAGAAACTTAAAAAGGGCAATTATCAGAGGTGAAAATGGCACTTTTTGCACCTGAAATGTGACACTCAACAGAGATGAAAAGAGCACTTGTGAGAATGGAAATGGGGAATCTGTTGAAATAAAAGGGCACCTCTCAGATTTTAATAGGGGCATTTATCAGATGAGTTAAAAGGTGCATTTTGAAAAGGGGAAGAGGCTTACTATATAACAGGAAAAGGGGCACTTATCCGAAGGAAATATGGTATTTATTAGAAAGGAAAAGAGGCACGTGTCAAAATAAAAGAGGCACTTAAGTGGCATTTAAGAAATAGGGAAGGGGGATCTTATTAGTTATTACGAAGGGAAAAGTACACTTATTAAACAGGAAAAGAGGCACGAGTAAAACTATTTTTTTTAAAGGCCCAAATTATGGTGTAAAGGGAAAATGTCTCGCACCTGAAAAGACGTACTCACCAGAGATGAAAAGAGAGGAAACTAGAACAGTTATTAGAAAATAAAAGAGGCACTTGTCCTAAGTAAAAAGTTTTTTTTTTTTTTTTTTTTTTTTTTTTTTGGGGGGGGGGGTACCTGAAAAAGTGGGGGCAGAGCCCCCCCCCCTCCCCACCGGGAGTTCTGCCTATGATATAATTGGGGGAACGGGTGAAAAAGAACCGGGAAATCATGTCATGTTTCAGCTACATTTTGTAAATCACTGGTATAGAATTAGAAATAAACCACGTTTGAATTTTAATTGGGGGGGGGGGGTCAACCTGCCCCCCCCCATCAGTAGTCCTGTGAACCTATTGAAAATCAGTGCTTGTAGATTATAGGTTCCCGATAAAATAGACATTGTAGATCATATGCGTATAGGAAGCTTTTTAGAAGTAGGGGGTGGGGGGGGGGCGTTGAAGCACTCACCCTCAAAATCTGCATGTGCGCCACAAACGTGATTTTCAGTTTTTCAAATGAAATTTGAAATTTTGAATTTTGAAAATATTTTGTATGTTCAAATTGTTTAAAGGTAAAGACCAGTATTGGAAACGCCCCAATTTCAAAAAATGAAATGGAAGCTCTCATTACCAATCATGTGAAAGAATATGTTTTGACTAATACATGATGATACAAAATTTGCCGGGAAACCGCCTACTAATTCATATATTTGGTAAATTTGTTTTTCTCATGGTATGTGAGAGATATAGGGTAGTCCCATATACATCTTTCTGTGTATAGTGCTTGTAACTTTACGAAGAATGGGCCAAATTTCTTATCATTTTGATGATTCCAGAACCTTGCAGATGCTAGACGCTAGATGATCAACCTTTCTGATCGATTCCACAACGTTTCTTTCACAATGCAATCGCATGACCATAACTGGTCTTTACCTTTAAGCCTTGGTAGCTATTTTGAATGTTTTTATTTGTTTGATTAAAAAATAAATAAATCAATTATCAACCAGTTCAATCAATCAATCAATCAATATAGCAACGCCTGTGAATGAAGTAAAACAACGAAGGTGCACAAGTCCATGTGATATGTATCCCATTTTAATGTATTATAAATCAAATTAAACTGTATTGAAAAATGATCATATATAATTATTTCCAATATACTGTTTTTGTTTTGTTTTGTTTGATACAATATAATTGTGTACATTCATTGTAAGTAATTCTGCCACTTCAACATAGCAGTTGTATTATATATTGGATATATTCAGCGGCGGATCCAGGATTTTCCAAGGGGGGGGGGGGGTAAAGTCCGGGGGGGGGGGGGTACTCACATTTTAGGGCATACGGGGGTGTGCCGCTCTAATGTGTAACTTTTTCACACACAAAATCCTTAAAAATATGGGTCCCACTTATCAAAAATACCATTAAAAATGGGTCAGTTTTTTCAAAATTTCCAAAATTTTCGGCTGTTTGCAATACCCCAAAATTGTTTTTTTCGACGAAAATGCGCCTAGCGGCTGGCTGAGTATTTGCGAAATTTTCGGCCCGATTTATAAATGTTAAACCCCGCCTGCTGATAGGGTCAAGGGGCCCGCCTTGGGAACACAGAACTATGTTCACGGTAGGCCTATATACATGCAGCTAGCTGCAACCTGGCTGCAGACTCTGTGAATATAAATGCAGTTCATCACCCGACATTTAGACAGATTAGGGCCTATCTATTGTTATGGACATCATCGATGAATATGACTCGTGAAAATAAAGTAATCAAGTAATTAGTTTATCACCCGACATTTAGACAGATTAGGGCCTATCTATTGTTATGGAAATCGTCGATGAATATGACTCGTGAAAATAAAATAATCAAGTAATCAGTTTATCACCCGACATTTAGACAGATTAGGACCTATCTATTGTTATGGACATTATCGATGAATAGACTCGTGAAAATAAAGTAATCAAGTAATTAGTTTATCACCCGACATTTAGACAGATTAGGGCCTATCTATTGTTATGGAAATCGTCGATGAATATGACTCGTGAAAATAGAAAAACCAAGAAGAAAGCAACGTAATTCTTCATTACTTTTGTGATGACTTCAGTTTTGTCAAATTTGGGAAAGATGCCCCTTGTTTAAGGGCCCCCTCCAAATAGGACCCACGTTTTCAAACTAAGTAACTTGAATTTAGCTTATAATTTACTGACAAATGAAAATCATAAATGACCTCTTATTTCCATTGAGAAAAAGTGGCAAAATTATAAAGGGCAAAAGGAAGAAGAAAAATGACGACAAAGAGAGTGTGGCTTGTTCTTTTCTTGTCCCCACTTCTGGCCGTCGGGATAAGTATTTCGGGGAAAACCCGTGTCCACACTATTGATACTGTAACAACATACATAATTATTCAGGTCCAATTAGGAACGGGGAAATCCCTTCCCTTATACATTACTGTATTGATTAAACAACTACTTTTTACATTTTGATTAATCTTATTGTAAGGCATTATGCGTTTAATCTCTGGTGCACGTTCCAAAGAGCAAACTTTAATCGGTATCGAGTTCTACATGCATACGACACGTACATTTGTTTGTATAGTTTACTTCATCAAATCAATATTACTATAGGGCCTATTATATTTAAATGCTTAATGATAGTCAATGCTTTTTGTTTCAACCAGAGAGTACGTCTGGCTTCACCAAAGCCCTCTCTTACACAAAAGACAAATAAAAAAAATAATAAAAAAACACACAACAAGCAGACATAAGTTTATTTATTTATTTTTATTTTATTTTATTAGAGGAAAGAGGAGATACAAAGGGAAAGTTCGTTCGTTCGTTCGTGTCTCCTTAGATCAGGAAAGTGAGGGAGAGGGAAGGAAAAGCGAGGGAGTGAGGAAGAGAGAGGAAGAGGGATGAAGATAGAAACAGAGAGGAGGAGAGAGATTGGGAGAGAGAGGGGTATAGAAAGAGAAAGGGGTGGGGAAAGGGAAAGAGAGAAAGAGAGAGAGAAAGGAGATAGAGAGAGAGAGAGAAGACAGAGAGAGAGAGAGAGAAAGAGGGAGGGAGATAGAAAAGAGAGAAGTTGAGTGAGAGAGAGAGAGAGAGAGAGGAGAGATTTATAAAAGGCGAATAATAAACAAGGTAGGAAAACGTAGCATTAAAATATTAATACATTTCTTATACATATCTAGATCTAGGCCTATATCCTGGCTCTGTTCTGCAACTTTTTTAAAAACAATTCGGTACCGAACTTGGTAGAGGATCATACCGACTATTTATCTGGTTGTCATATCGATGTTTCTCACGACGATTTGTGTAGAAATCAGCTGAGAGCGAACAGTTTTCTACACAGATTTTCTTTGGAGGTCAAGGTATGTTTTCAAATGTCTTTTATATGTTTTTACAGAATATTATAACGGTACATAAGTAATCGTGAGTCGTGAGGAAAATATTTTTTTGAAAACACGTTTTTTGTTGTTTTGAAATTGAAGAGACAAAGAGACGAAGAGTGTCCATAAAAGTGTCGCATATAATCTTCTCCGGGGAGGGACTTGAGTCTTGGCCATAACGCTGCCGCAGCTTCCCGGCCCAGCAGCTCCCTGGCCCTGGACCCGTATCGTAAGTTCGCTTGGTCCCGGACGCGTATTTTTTATTTACACGGCAGCGAGGGGAAAAGCTCGATTAATTCCAATGAAACCGCTCGCGAAGAGTCTAGACTAGACCGAGTCGGAATTGTACTTAACATGTAAGATTTAGAGAAAGAAACAAAGAAAAACATCAAATTCAAGAGGAAAACAAGAAAAGTAAATAGATGGATTTCTTATGCAATAAATAGAGACGGCAGTATGATATTATATGCGACACCATGGCACAGAGAGCGTGAACATACATGCCCTCGGCCAAGTACCAACAACACACAGTACATCAACAACACAAGTCATCAGTACACCATCATTGTACACGCTCTACAGACTAGACTCTCCGCGAGCGGTTTCATTGGAATTAATCGAGCTTTTCCCCTCGCTGCCGTGTAAATAAAAAATATGCATCCCAGACGCGTATTTTTTATTTAAAAGGCAGCGAGGGGATTTTTCGCGATTAATTCAAATGAAACCGCTCGCGAAGAGTCTAGACTAGAACGATTCGGCGTAAATATTCATAATTGAATGACACACGCCCTTAAAACTAAAACAACAACAACAACAACGAAGTACGAGTACCTAGTGCAGTGCAGTGTATTATAACGGGAATTGTACTTAACATGTAGATCTAGAGAAGTAAACGATGAAAGACATCAAAAGGAAAACAAGGAAACAAATAGATGTCTTATGCAATAAACAGTGACGGCAGTATGATATTATATGCGACACCATGGCACAGAGAGCCTCGGCCACGTACCAACAACACAGAGTACATGTATATCGACAGCACAAGTCATATTCAGTACAGGCACTACAGACTAGACTCTCCGCGAGCGGTTTCATTGGATTTAATCGAGCTTTTCCCCTCGCTGCCGTGTAAATAAAAAATACGCGTCCCGGACTGGTAGGCTTAGATCTACGTCGTATTTATTATTGGAGGCGTAGTTAAATTTATCTATTTTGTTTTGTTTATTTCCAAACTCTTGCAGAACTTCAAACTGCAACAGGCAGAATGGCGGATGACCGTGAAATTTTAAGAGAGATTTGGGAAGGTCGTATTCCAGTTTGCTTTGTTTTAGCAGACGCTGAATGCTCAACAGAAAACCCAGAACCTTGTGTGGTAAGGATGCATTCAAAGTTTTTACTTTGTAGAATCCACTAGTCAGTAGTCAAAAGTCATGGTTCAGTCATTTATTTATTTGGTTTTCAATTAAGAGGTTTAGGGTTTGAATTCCAGACCATCTTTAGCAAGACAAGGAGGCGAGTTGGCTCAGTCGGTAAAGCGTCTGCCTGTCGAACCAAAGATCCCGGGTTCGACTCCCATCCAGGCGGATGACTGAAGTCTGCGTTGTGTGTTAACGTGCCCCTTCCCTTGTTCATAGATGCAGGTTATGTCAAGTGGAAAACACTCCGTCCCTCGGATAGGACGTTAAATGGAGGCCCCGTGTACAGGAGAGTCACCACCCTTGCACGTTACGAACCCATTGCACTATTCGTATAAGAGAAGGGGGAAACCCCGGTGTAATGGTCCACCTGCACACCCCAATCAGGCCGAGTATACGGCATCTGCAAGAATCTTCAGTATTGAAGGAGGCAGATTATCTTGAAGAAGAAGAAGAAGAAGAAGAAGACACTAATCCACATTTGCCACTCTAGACCCAGGTGATTCATTTGGATTGGTCACTATTTATATCTGTCCTCCATTCATTACCACAAAGCTTTAAAAGCTTGCTTTCATGTAGGTCCCATCATATTTCTCTCAGTTAAATCAGTACTCTATAATTGACCACTTAGTTTTATGTTATTTATGATGTATTATTGATTGTTATGTTATCACACACAAAAAAATGTATATTTAACATGAGAAAGATGAAAATAAATGAAATAAGGTGAAGTAAAAGGGTTAGTAGGTGGCATCAGTGTAACAACAAAAAAAATTCTACTTTTCTAATCACGGAAAATATTTTCGGATGTGGCATTGTAAAAGTGCAGTGCTCTTACTTTATTTATTGTTACACCAGAGTTCTTTTGAGCAATCCAGAGCTGAATTGCTCACCAATTTTTTTTTTTTTTACAGACTGGCAAGATAAAATTCCTTGAATGCTAGAGCACCATAGTAGAGTTTAGCTCATAATAATTGAGTGTCAGGACTCAGGACTGTCGTTGTATGACAGTAATTTCAATTAAACAATTGTAATTTTGGCTACTTGTATTTCATTGCAGCTTATGGTCTCCAGATTAACGTACATCACTCTGATAGCTGAGAAAATTGAGAAGCATTTTAGGAAGTTTACAGCTATTGATGAGCAAGACGAGGTCTGGTTTGAATCCAATGGACAAGCGCTCAAATGGTGAGAAAGTGAATGCATTAAGTACTTAAATTGGCTGCATGTTGACAATTTCAAATCATTCTTTCCCACAAAATTGGCAATTTGACCACTACATCCATGTTTCTTTTTCTTCAGACACATGACTTTTTATAGAAACTCCCACCCCTAAAATCGTCTCATATAGAATTATGGGTTATTGGGTTCTCTAGTTATTTTCCGTAAAAGAATATTTGAGATCTAAGTTTAAGATTTAAGGTTTAAATTTAAGATATAAAAATGATTTTTGTTTTTGTTTTTGTGTGGAGATAAAATCAATCATATCTTGTTATGTTACATGTACACGTCCTTGACAACACGATGCTATAACTTTTTCTTTGTGTCTTTTGTTTTGCAGGCATTATCCCGTTGGAGTACTGTTTGATCTTCACATGCATGACAAGCCTTTGCCATGGAGAGTCACCGTTCATTTTAAGGTATCTCTAAAGTTTCCATTTTTACTAAAATGTTACAAATTTGACTAAATTGCACCTTACTTTTATTTTTGGGGTGCTTTTTCAACAATAAATTGTTATTTATTTGAATAGAAGACATGTATTCATCCATGGATTCACCATTTATTTTATATGACAACTCGTGTATACCAAATAAACAAAGCTTTCTTTGGAGCCATTTGATAACTCCAGTGTTGTAATATCTATAAACAGTGAAACCTGTCTATAAAGACCACCTAAGGGAGACAAGAAAAGTGGTCTTTATAGGCAGGTGGTCTTTATGTACAGGTTCCTTTACTAAAATGTTTTAATGAGAAACAATTTTCAAGGGAACGATAAAATGTGGTCTTTCTATACAGGTGGTCGCTACAGCAGGTTTGACTGTATTTAGTGTTTTTATAATTTTTTCAAATATTATCTCATATATGGTATTAATATGTGTTCCATATAAAACGGGGTTTTTTCACAAAGGCTAAGATCGACTTTAAGTTGGACTTCACTGTGGCAGACCATTCATGCCACCGATTGCTCTCCCCATTGGTCTCTCAATTATGAACTTAAGATAATATGTTTTCCTTCATTAAATAAAAAAAGTAAATTCTGCAGATTTGTGACCATGATTTGTATGTCTCTTGAAAGACCAATGTCAGTAAATGGTGAGAGCAAACAGTGGCATGAATGGCCTGCAATAGTTAAGTCTAACTTAAAGTCGATCTTAGTCATTGTGAAACACTCCCCAAAACTGACTTTCTTTTCCTTTTTTCCTTTTATTTCAAGTAGTTTATGCGCACCTCTTCTTTTTCCTTCTCAATTAACAGAATTTCCCAGAAGATGAAATTCTTCACTGCAAGAGCAAAGAGGTGATTGAAGCCATATACATGTCTAGTGTGAAAGAAGCCGATATCCTCAAGCACAGAGGTACGTCATGCCCAGAATATATTGGCCCGAATTCACAAAGGAGGTTTAAATTTTACCCATGGTTTACACCATCATTTATATAACCCATGGTTTAAGATTAGCGCAAAATAGCGCGGCACAGTCAGAGGCCCAATATTAGATGCGCGCAAGTCAAGGTACGCTTCATTTGCGTTAATTTTAAATCATGGGTTATGTAAATGAGGGTTTAAATCAAGGGTCCTTTATGTCTGTCTTATTGAGCCCCATGATCAATTATACAAAGATGGATTTTTGACACATTTAGAAAGCTGTAAGGCTCTAAAAAAATAAGAAATGAGTAGTAGTAGTAGTAGCAGGTTTCACAGTAAAAATCATCTTTACATTGTTGTGCTAATAGTGCGAATTAGTAAAAACAATCATTCAGCCACGATAATAAGCTTTAAGTGGTTGTCATCACATTTAGTGCATGGTTTTCTTTTTCTTTGCCTTGTCTTTTCTTGTCTCCGTCTTCTTTGTCATGAAGCAGTTCTTTTTCTTTCCTCTTTTGTTTATCATTGCTAAAAATCATTGTAATCAGTAATTGTTTTAATAATACAGCAATAATGTTAAGAAGTTTTATTCATTATCATTTTAAAGTAAATAAGACAAACCTCCTTATTTTTTGTGCTTTTTAGGTCAAGTAATGAACAATCTGCAGCAGAAAGATCACAAACAACTTTGGACAGGGTTACAGAGTGGTGAGTATTATCATACCCTTACAATCCATTGGTAGATAAAGTTGAGTTCTGGTCACGCGATTGCATTGTGAAATAATGATAATAAAATAATACATGAGATTTATATAGCGCCATTATCCATTTTTAATTAAATGCTCAAGGTGTTATAAAATGCTTAAGGTGTGGAATGGATCTGAAAAAGTTGATCATGTAGCATGTAAGCATTGGTATGTACTGCAAGGTTCTGGAGTCATCAAAATCATCATAAATTTGGCCCAGTCTTGGTAAAGTAACAAGCACTGTACACAGAAAGATGTATATGGGACTACACAAATGGTGTCGGGCCTACTTACCTTGATTTCCTTATCTTTCTATGCTCATTATAAGTATACATTTCCTACCAATGACATTTATTTGTAATCTTGAACATTCAGTGTAAGTTTCGTTTGATTCTGTGAGAATTCATTTTCTTTTTTTACCAGAACTCAAGTTTATCTTTAATACGTCACAATATTATTTAGCTTGGCAAAGTAAAACAGCGTAGGTAGATCAGATGAAATTTATGTTCTTGAGCAAACCAACTTAAGCTGAAGATTAAGTGCCATCACATCCTTCTTTGTTTGTTTCACCTGACTGCTAAGAAAACATATTCATGCTTGTAAGTAAGCAACCAGGGGACAGATGGATTTAAAGCCTCTCTGAGTTACTTGGTAATGAGGATCAATGCCTTACCAAAGGGCGCTAGTGCATCGACTTGGTTTGAACCCTGGACCTCCTGGTTACAAGACCACTGCTCTACCACTGAGCCATCACGCCATACTCAGTCACGTTCGCCCAGCTGTACCTTTACCAGTTACTCCAAAATTACAAGCAGCAAAAGCATCATACTGAGCGTACATGTATATCTGCAAAGTATCTAATCCTAGGTCCAAAATAATATTATTTTTTCAGATGTTTTATTGAAATTGTAAAATAGGCATTGTTGTTGTGCAATTATTAGTACAAATATCTCAAATCTGAATTTGATTACCGGTACATGAGTGAAAGAAGACTCTGCTCCTCTATGTACCTCAATGATAGATAAACTAGAGTTCTAGTAAATATAGAAAATAATTTCTCACAGAATCCAACGAAACTTACACTGAATGTTCAAGATTACAAATAAATGACATGTGCCAACCAATTTTGGTAGAAAATGTATATTGGTGGCTGAGTAATGAGCATAGAAAGATAAGGAAATCTGGGCAAGTGCTTAACGAAGGTTACTATGTGCAAATGGGAGTTGTGGTTCTTATTATAGATGATGCCAAGTAACTTTTTGTGGGCTTGTTTTTATTTCACTGGTTCAAACAACCAATATTCTGCAGAATAAACAATCCAGAATAAATCATAGCAATTTTCTCTCAAGATACGATTCCCATACCAGAGTTTAAGATTAACTTTAACTAATTTGATATGGACAGCTAAAGTTGCTATTATTTATTCTTCTTCTGTGCATTTGTTGTCATTTTTCTTTCAGACAAGTTTGATCAGTTTTGGACGACCAACAGACGGCTGATGGAGAGATTGAACAATGATCCTTTCAAATTCATTCCATTTAAAATATTTCAGGTTTGTAAGTTTGGTTAATTGTCTACATCAACAATTAATTGGTGAAATATCTATTGTTTACTGTATCATCTTACGCATACCAATATTTGAAAATACATTTAAATAATGTATATATATATGTATATATCTATATACATTGGACAATATATCATGTATACGCATCAATGTAGCATGAGTTTAATCCCTTACGACAACCTGATATATTGCACATCCCGAGGTTCTATTTACTATGAAAATTGTTTAGCAGATATTATTTATCTTTAGTTTTCTAGCATGAAATTTGTGGTATTTTCTTTGGCTTCTATTTTTTTAATACCTTTTTCATAAGTAGAACTTTAAAGGGAGTGTAGCCCGACAAGACTATGTGTCTTTACCGTGGCCTGACTCAGGGCTTATCAGGTATAATACAACTACGGACGACGCAACCGCAGCAATCACATGAAGCGTGAGGAGAACTTTGGTCTGTTTCGCGAACTCTGACCAGGTAGAGATTAAGTCGCTGACTACCATTAATTAAGTCCATTGGTTTACGTGGAGTTGTCCACAAGAAGACGTACATGGCGTTAACCAGTATTTGCCATGCTACACTCCCTTTAACACGAGAACCTTTACTCTTTGTCTCTTGATGGCAGCCTGACAAGCTGCACACACAGAGGTTGTTCAAACCCGTCAATGATGAAGGGGAGCCCAGGACACTACGGGCGCTACTCAAGGAAACCTTGCCAGACATATTTGCCGATCCAGGTGTGTATTATCATTAATAATAATAATAATAATAATATTGGATTCTTATATAGCGCACGTATCGACCTTGCAAGGTCCTCAAGGCGCTCCAACATTACCCGGCTATGCTAAACCTATTGCCCATTGGAGCCAGGGTAATAATATGATTGCAGGGTCCTTGGGGAGGAACAGTACCGGTATTAATTATTAATGGGGCTACCCTAACATGTTATTATTATAAGTAGTATAAATAGTAGTAGTAGTACTACTACTACTACTACTAGTTGTAGTAATAGTAACAAAAGTAGCAGTAGTAGTAGTTGTAGCAGTAGTAGAAGTAGTAGCAAGTAGTTGTAGTAGTAGTAGTAGTAGTAGTAGTAGTAGTAGTAGTAGTAGTAGTAGTAGAAGTACTAGAAGTGGTAGTAGTAGTAGTAGTAGTAGTAGTAGTAGTAGTAGTAGTAGTAGTAGCAGTAGTAGTATTAGCAGTAGGAGAAGTAGCAGTAGTAGTAGTAGTAATAGCAGTATCAGTAGCAGTAACAGTAGCAGCTGTAGTAGCAGTACCAGTAGCAGTAGTAGTAATAATAGTAGCAGTAGTATTAATAGTAAAGATGGTAGGAAGGGAATTTTGAAAAGTTTATGTAGTATGTCAGTACAGTGATATAGAGGCAGCTGAAGACTTCGCAAGAAATAAACAAAAACTTTCATTTCTCCTTTTTCTTCTCTTGCAGATACCAAAGATTACAAGGTTTTGATTCACGGTATCGAGACTCCCCGAGACACCCCCGTACAATGGCTTAGTGAACACCTTAGCTACCCAGACAACTTTCTTCACATGTGCGTTCTACCATCACAACTCAACAGTGAACTTTGATGTTGCGTTGATATCGACAACCTGTGCGGTATAGAGACTCCCAGAGACACCCCTATACAGTGGTTACCTGAATAACTTTGTTCACATGTGCGGTCTACCATCACAACTCAACAGTGAACTCTGATGTTGCGTTGATATTGACAACCTGTGCGGTATAGAGACTCCCAGAGGCACCCCTGTACAGTGGTTACCTATATGCAAAGTATATTTTTTGCCATAATTTAATTGAAGTCATTGGAAATATAGTCACATTTTGTTAAAACATCAGGAAAATTTTTGGGCATCCTGTCTGGCACTTCATATTCAAGTCGTTCGTAAAGTCATGCGTAACTTTACGAACATCTTTATGAAACAACCCCCTGGATGACTTTCTTTACATGTGTGTTCTACCATCACGACTCAACCGAGGAACTCTAAATGTTGCATTCATATTGACAACCTTTGTGGTTTAAAGACACCTCTGGTCACTGGTTACCTGGATAACTTAGTTCACATGTGTGTATTTCCATCACAACTCCACCAACAAATTCTGATGTTGTGTTCATATTGACAATCTTTGTGGTGTAGAGACTCCCAGAGTCAACCCTGTACAGTGGTTATCCAGACAACTCTCTTCAGATGTGTGTTCTTCTGTCGCAACTGAACAATGACTAGTGATGCTGCTTTCACATTCACAAACTGTATCGGTTGAGTCTGGACTGATATTTCACCCACTTAATATAATAATATACTTATCTGTAAAGCGCTTTGAGAGGGCCTCCGGTCCTGAAAAACGCTATATAAGAACGAGCTATTATTATTATTATTATTATTGACTCAATTTGCACCCCTCTACAATGGCTCAGTAAACATCTCCATAGACACCTAGACAAATTACAGACTCTGATACCTGCATTCATATTCACAGCATTCGTGGGTTGAACTTGGACTCGCTATGCACTCAATATGAACTCCACCCTCTTAACCACGCACTACACCCATCACTGATACAACATACCATACATGCTACATGTATTATGAAAAGTGTAGCTACCCTGGGCTCTTTGCTTTGTGCTTAAAGGTAATGCAAAGTTTTGGGAAATTTTGAAAATTGGATGGATAGTAATTCTTTAAAATTTTGATATATTTGGATGCCCCTGTGAATGTATTATAAGCATCAGAAAATTTAGCCCCTGAAACATTTCTGCTTTCGAAAAATTGAATAATAAAAATTTACCGGTGCTCCCGTTAAATTTCAAATATTTTGAATAGTGCCGAAGGCCATTCCATGGTAGCTGCGACCATGAAGATCTCAAAATATGCAATTCTGATATATAATTTCCAAACAGGAATAGCAAATCTGTCGATTGTAGTCAAGAAGCATTATCAAGAAGTAATATCAGTCTTGAGAGGGAGCTATACAACATGAAGAGTTTATTATTTACAATTTCATCACTTTAGACTCGATTTCAATTGCGACAACGATCGTTGAATATTGTAAAATTGCATATGCTTCCAGTATGTTTATTTGAACCAAATTCATGACCCCATACCAACATTTTGTACTACCTTTAACCTTTAAACTTTAACCTGCATGTCTTGATTTGTGAGGAGGTTGTTGTGTCTACGGCGAGACTGTCCTATAATGGGCCTTGGGGTTATCTCTAATATTAAATACATGCTAACATTAAATACACCTACCTCTGCTCTGTGCTAAACCCACACATGTTAACACAATTTTTTTTAGACGGGTGTTTTTGGTGTGGAGGTACACTGTATTGGAACTTTGGAAGTGTATTCTTCTTTAATACATTCATTAATTATGTTCTTTGCTAGGTGCACACACTAACCTCGTGCATCTTTTTTGCACTCTTGATATTTTATGGACGAGGAATCATTAAAATTGTATGTACATGTATTTTGCTTTAAAAAGCATGTTTAATGTTTTCATTACTTTCTCATTGTAATGAGAAATTGATTTTAACTGTGCAATGTACTTGATGTAATATGTGTTTTATGCTTTAGTCAAATGTTTGTAAAGTCATATACAATGTTAGTACAAGACCTTAATTGTACAGTCGTGTAATTGTAATGCATTTCTTTGTTACCCACATTTCTGTGCAGCACACACAAAATTCAAAAGAGGTAACTTTAATCAAAAGGCTTAATCATAACATAACCACATTTAATGCAAACGTCTTTATGAAGTGCCTTGATGCAAATAATTATTTTGTATTTCAATAGTCAGAATGCAAGCTGCATATATAAAGTGTTGCTAGGTAGGGCAAGCCATAATGTTTGTTCTACCAAGCAACAAATACTGTGTGCAATTCGCTTTCTGACCATTGTAATACAATTATTCATGACAGGGGAAAGACATAATTTGTATGAGGCACTTCACAAAGACAAATGCATTGAATTGGTAATATTAAGAAAATGGCCTAATGTTATTCATTTCTTTGTTACCCACAGTCACTTGTAGCACACACAAAATTCAAAAGAAGTAACATAATAAATGTTAATGTTCAGCATTATTGAAGGGATTATTCAAAGACATGCCGTCAAATGTTACATATAGGTACAGTGAAACCTGCTTTAGCACTTACCTGTAGAAAGACCACCTGCCTGTATAGACGGTATATTCTGTACATTCTTTAGTTTCCAACAACCTGTGTTTCTCCATGGAACATGTTTTAGTATAGACCACCTGGCTATAAGGACCACCTTTCATGTTTCACTTAAGAGGTCTTTGTATACAGGTCCACTGTAACATGTTATAATGAGGCATCTTAACTTGCGGGTGTGCTAATTCGATTGCTGTTTTTTAAATACACCTCTTATTATAGATAAACATGTACCGGGTATGTAGAAATAACTTGACAAGTTGACAAACATTTGATGTATACCGGTATGTACCCTTCCATTAAGAAAGCATTTATTTTGTAAAACTGTATATTTTGTATAAATAATGTATATTAAACAATTTGATTATCTCATAATATTATATAATGTCGTAGATAAATGGAAAATAATATAACATGATATATTGTAGTTGCTTTGTAGTGTTTTCTTAATGTGTTTTGTGACATAGTGTTTTAGGTAAGATAAATTAGGCTTTTAAATGTATTTATGCTTATTGCAATGTTGTGAGAGAAGAACAGAATACAGAGAAAGAGAGAGAGAGAGGGTTTTTTTTGGGGGGGGGGGGGGTAGAGGAGGGGATAGAAAAGAGATATAGACAGGAAGACGGATAGAGAAATATAGATGGAAAGATTGATAGAGGGAAAAATAAAGAGAGAGAGAGAGAGGGGGATAATGAAGAAGAGGACAGCAAGCCAATAATAGGGAGTTAAAGAGAGAATGAGAAACAAAAACTGTGTGTGTGTGTGTGTGTGTGTGTGCGCGTGTGTGTGTGTGTGTGCGTGCGTGCGTGCGTGCGTGTGTGTGTGTGTGTGTGTGTGAGAGAGAGAGAGAAACATAGAGAGAGAGAGAGAGAGAGAGAGAGAGAGTGACATAGAGAGAGGGAGATGAACTATAAAGCTGTACGGTCTCTAGTTGCTGACTAAAAAGCATATAGTTATTGCATTCTGACATTCATATGAAATGAACATCAACGTCGACCCTGAAACCAAATACACAGCGCCATCTTGCGGCATGAGACGGCATTTGTCTAACAAAAAGTTGAATGTCAGGTCTCGCTATAATTAGAAAAGAGAATGAGATCATAATCATTGGAACCTCTGCTGATAACGTAGCACAGTGTAAACAACTGCGCTGCACCCCACCCCCCCCCCCAAAAAAAAAAATAGATGGAAATGTTTGAACTTTGGTGGCAAATTACGAAAAGAATGTTTTAGATAGAGCCGGAATCCACTGAGCAAAGATATGGCATGATTGAAAAATGAAACGAAATGAAAAGAAAAGAAAGGAGAAAACAATTTCACAAATTGTGTTTACAATTGTACTTAGGAGAATCTGGACATTACAAGAACTTTACATTTTGAGTATTTACCAATAGAAACCAAAGATATAGAATTGAGAGTGACAAAAGAACAGAAACGACATGATCCCTAAATAATACAATTAAAATCACGCAGTAGGATTGACAAAACAACAAAAATGTTCAATGAATTTAAATTAGATTATAGAAAGAGAGCCTTTCCTGTCTCTATCTGTTTAGAACTTGTCCTCTTGAGGATGTAGTTACATTTTTCTATCGACATGTAAAACACCGGATGAGCAACAAGTCATTTGGAATGTGATGACAGACTTAACGGTAGAATATTTACATGATCTCAAAATGAGCTCACCGAAGCTATTCATCACTTAATCGTTGTGCGTCAAGGATAAGACACGGTTCCAAACAGATGCACGCGTCTAGTCCGAAGTGATAATTTATGGCGGTGTAACGGCGCGCGCGCCTTTTTTTCTCTCTCTTCATTTGAGGTCGTCTGCGGCCTGGTTCATTGACAGAGCCAGAATCAGTTAGAGCCATCGTCAACTTGATCACTCCCGGGAAGTTTAGTCATAGTAAGTGACAGCCGTCCAGCAGTCCACAAGTCAAACACTGTCAAACGAGCTTGTCTTCGCTTTGATAGGGACGGACACAAAGGTTTATCAGAACTTGGAGAGTGCAAGAATTAATTGATTCATTCAAGTTCGACTGCGAGTATTCGATTTAATCACGGTTTTGCTACAAATTGATTGAGTTTTACTAACGAGGTCCGGTCAGCAACTATTCATTTTTTGAAAGTCAAAGGAAAAGCTCAGACTTTTCTTGATAGATTTTGCTCAGAATGCTGTGAGTTGCTGTGGGAGGCGAGACGCAAGCAGTATTTGGACACTTTTTGTTTGGCCCTTAGTATTGGTGAAAAAGGTTAATAAATTGGTGAGAATCTTGGAATTATCAGAACTGCTATCGGGACCAAGTGAAAAAGTCTGCATTTTTTAAATCGCTCTGGTACAATTTTTGTGTGCAGAGGTGCATCCTGGCGTCTTTTCTTAAGTGATAAATAGATTATTTATCTGGAAAGATATTGGTGCTAACATGGCAGAGTTAAATGGAATAACGAATCTTTCAAAAACTGTTTCATTATGGATGTGGATAATGGTGACTGCGACTTGTGTAACAGCCATATCGTTTCGGGAGCAGCCAGAAAGTGCAACCGCCATCGCCGGAGAAACGATAGAACTTCACTGTGCAGTCAATAACCAGGCTGATCTCAAACTCTACTGGCAGAACCTCGACACCGCCTCCTACATTAGTCTGAATAGGAGATTGAACCCATACGGCCAGGTCGGCGAAGAACAATTGAGCAGAATCGAAATCACAGGCGATGTCGATAGAGGCGAGTACCATCTCAGAATCACCAATGCGTCTAAAGCTGATGAAGGAAGGTATGCTTGTGTGTTCTTTCTTAACTTCAACTATTACAGTCAGGTTGCCAAAATCAAGGTAGTTCGACCACCCGATCGGGGCTACCCAAAATGCGCGATCGATCCGATAAGGAGGGCGAATGTTGGGGATAACATCACGCTGACTTGTGAATCGCGAGGAGGAGATCCGCCCGCGACGTTGTCCTGGGTGAGAGGGACGACACGGTTGATCACAAAGCGAGGGCGCCACCATACAGGTGATCCGATTGTCCATTATTCCATGACGCTTACAGAAGAAGATTCGGACGTCCGATTCACGTGCGTTGCCACCAACCCTGCCCTACAACAACCAAGTACCTGTTCGCTGACTCCACTCCGCAGCAGCCTTGGTGTTCTACTTCGACCTGTAGTCGCCAGCGTGAAGGTGGGCGAAGCCTTCACCTTTGTTTGCATCACGGAGAGAATACCGAACCTTGTTTACCAATGGTACATCAACAACGAACCCATCGATGGCCGGGAGCCACGATTCACCTACATCCGTGGCGGTCAAAGACTCCTGATCGAGGCTGTCACCATGGAGGACGATTATGCTCTAGTTAAGTGTGAGGTCACCCAGAAGGATTACAGCTATTCAGGTTCAGCAGTGGGTCTCCTTTGGGTACAGCCCAACGGCATTCCTGATGTCCTGGAGACCACAACTGAAGCACCCCGCAGGATACCCACAACAAGCATCGTAGCCAAGGTTCGAGCGACTACCACACCGCCAATGGCAACAACTACAATTGCCACAACAACAGTTTCAACCACTACATCACCGCCAACCACAACCGTACCTACAACCATAGCAACCACAAAAGCAAAAACGAAGACGACACGGCCTACAATACCTGAAGTGCCACTTGTTGTCAATGATGGTAACATTGTGCTTTACGAGTCTTCATCGTCGTCGTCTGTGTCAGCTCTTTCCAGTTTCAGTTCGGTGTCGTCACTTTCGTCCGATAACGACTTACTCGATCCCGGAAGCGAGGCTGTGAGCCAAGTTGAAAACATACCTGAGACCGAAACTGACGGACCTCTCGAAGCATCTACAGCAGAAGTGACCAAGACGCTGCCTCCAAACATGGATAATAATGATCTAACTCCGACCGAAAATCAAGAAGAAACGAATGCAAATATCGTCCAAAACGCAACTCGTCCAGTTGAAAATTCAACAAACAATATTGCAGATGCTTTTGTGACGCCCTCTACTCAAGGAACCATCGTGGACAACGAAATCGTTGCAGACGGCCAACATAACACTGTTACCATGGAGATTGGTAGTGGTGATGAGATGAACAATGCGATAAACGAGCTGAGCATCTACACGGATGCTGAAATTCGGCTGCCTAACGAAACTGGTTTCAAAACCGGACGATTACGGGGTACTCCCAACTGGGGCTTGATTGCGGGGTTGTTCGTCGTGTTTCTCCTGGTGGTCGTCGCGCTCAGTGCCTTAGCAGTATTTCTCTATCGGAAACATGGCAAAGAGACAACATCGACGTCATCCACGTGATCGTAAGGAGGATCCGAATGGAAGACACTATCAAGACCTTGACAGAGGTTTATCAGAATTGGTATAACTTAAAGCGTGAGGCAGTTACGCGATGTTTTGCAGTTTAGGATTTAAATTTTATACTCTGTGCTGCAGTATTCAGGAACAACGGACAGCTGCAGTAAGAATGAAGTTTTATTATCTCTTTCAGCAATCTCTTACCGAGATATATCACTAAAAACGTACCTTTAATTGGATATCGTCCCAAGAAGGATCAACAACGTTTCAAAGACTTTCGCGTGAATCGTTCTTTTTATTTGAGGTATGTCAAACATGTCAAATGTGTATATTTTGGTGTAAATAATATTGTACAGTGTCATTAGTATATGATTGCTCTAAAGGATTGTATAGTTCAAAGTACATACTCCACATTTAAATAGGCCTAATATCGACATTTTCGTAAAGAACTAAATTGCCAAAAAAGTAAATTGCCTGACCTGTTTACAAACAAGTTATGATAGATTCGATGCTCAAGGATGATATATGGTGTGTTGAATTCCATTTTTTAAAGGAAAGATCAACACATTGTAACACCTTAATTGATAGATACTCAAAGAGGGGGTTAATAGAGCAAGTGGATATTTTTATTTTTATATGCTCAATACATGCATGAGTTTTATGAGTTAATCATTTAACTTGATTTTGTACGTACAAGTAGTTCATAAACACCCCTGGAATACTGATTTGTTATAAATAGATCCGTGTGGACCATAAAATAAAATGGGCCATAAAATATGTAAGAGGTAATATACAATACCCCTTGGGAAAAGTGGGGGATACCTTTGTCAATGAAAGTGTTATTTAGGTAAGAGGCACCAGTCCTCGATCCTTGCGAAGATACCCGTACACCTTTGCTCCTACAATATTATTATTGAGTTTATTGTACAGTCATGATCATATATCGTTGTGATATACCCTGTATAAATTTATATGAAATGAATATGACATACATGTATTTCATAAATGATAAAATATTCTACGTACGGCAGGAAACAGTTAGAGGATTTCTCACAGTTAAAGAAATTTGAGTTTGTTTATCGATGGGAAGGAAAAAGATACCTAAACTATCCTATATAATCGGTCCATGATATCCCTAAACCCATCATTAAACTAACCTCAATATAACCAGGGAGGTCCCTGATACAGGTGTATACCTAAATCATGGACCATATGACACTAGAACATGACTTTGAGTCAGTTTTCTGAGGAGTTTGGTCATATGGTGACGGACATCTTGGACACGGTCCAGTCTGCCACCTGCCCTGTCTATCTGTTGATATATTAACAGGACAAGGTAGCTCAACAGGTGACCAACTATGGGAAGGGGCATTTAAAGGGACTTGGTAACATTGTTCAGATGAGAGAAAATGGTGCTAAGGTAGTGACTCAATGCTTGATGTAGAATTCGAAAGTTTGAGTGAAAACAGACCATTATTAATGTTACCGAGTCACTTTAAATTGGGTTAAAGGGCTATCTACAGTTTTATTTGATTTTCAAGCTTACTTCGTCGAGTATAATATACTCAAAGCTAAACAGAAATGTATACATTTTTTTCTTCAAATTTGATTCATGTGATTTATTTCTCTTTATAATATTTTCCTACATTTATTTTAAAAACTGATTAGAACATTATATAAATAATGTGATTTGATCGATACATCATCAACGTAAAGACATTAAATATAGAGTTAACGTCAATTAGTCATACAGATTCATAACCATTAGCAGAATCATACTTACCATAATCATAATATTCAAAGGTTTATGTTCGTATCCACATAAGTATGTAAAATAATTCGGTAAAGCTGGGTCAGACCGCAGATTTTGGAGCGTTTAGAGTCATCCTCTTCATTGCTGTATTAACGACTGCAGATATGTAACAAAATTAATAAACGAAAGAAACAAAGTCATGTATAAGGAAAATAAGAACTTGTTTCCTGATGACATGAATTTGTTTTCGTTATGGGATTATACTGATTTAATAGGATGAAAGCTAGATTAGTACACGGTGCTCCATAAATCACTAAACAAGCCCTACTCACTTAGTCCAGGGAGATGGGAGGAAGTCAAGGCATAGGTCCATGGTCTAGGTTAATACCCGGAGTAAAAACGAATATCGGCCATAGACTGTTTAGTCAAACAGAATACAATTAATTTCAGTACATTTTGAATGATCGTCGACAGTTTCTATCTGTGGACCTTAACTATTCAAATGATAACGATATCATTTATTTGTACGCGATTTTTTTTGTTAGCAATGTTTCCTCAAATGCGGATTGTCAATATACTGCAATGCATTTATTCGAATTATTACTGGTTTCATGGACTAGTTTGAGTAATAGTTTGCAGGTTAATGAATACAGGGCATAAACATGTATATGAATTTTGTTTTATGATACACCTTGTACAGTCGAGTGTTGTCCCATGATCACAGGTAATACAGACAGGGACATTCTATTTTATGAGACGCCTTGTAAAGCTGATCGTTACCCTCAGAATTTCAAAGTGACAGAGACAGGGGTATACATTATTTTTTATTATATGAGTGTCTTCCCTTGTTCGCATGGTATAGATGTACACAACAAAATATTGGTCTATTTTTTTGAGCACCCTGTACAGCTGAGTGTTTCCCCTGGATCACTGGGTAACGAAGACAGGGGGTATAGACGCAGGAAAAAGGGGCTTCCAGAGATCGGAAACAAGAGGGTTGAGTTGGTTAAGGGCAGAAGGAAGTGCGTTTCCTTGGCATTTAATAACGGATTGGCATTCGCATGAAAAGTTGAACGCAATCATAGCCCCCCCCCCCATGTTCCCCCTCCTCGTAGTCTGCAGGCACATACTCTATTTGACGCTTGAAGACAATTCCATAACATCTTGAGTCTAGCCTTACTTCCCCAGTCCTTGTTGTTGTTGATGTGTTGTTGTTGTTGTTGTTGTTTTAATTTTTAATTTTTTTTTTAATTTTTAATTTTTTTAAAAAAATGTATTTATTTATTTTTTTTTTTTTTTTTTTTTTTTTTTTTTGGGGGGGGGGGGGGGGGTCAAAATGAGGTTAACAATAGTACAGGAGAATGGAGTGCAGAAGTCTTGCAGTCCAGACACTGTGTAACACATTACGAATGACAAGGGTATTGTCCTGTAAAAATCACCCCCTCCCTCTCTTTCCTCTCCAGGGTAATCTTTGGCTTGCGCACAGAAACTTTGTCATTATCAAGTTTTCGTTTTCGATTTTGTTCTCTCCTTCCATTTTCTGTCGTACATTTTTAATGGATGGAATGTAAGACGGAATTTTTCAGTTCAATTCTCCTTCAATTTTCTGTCGCTAAAAAGTTCTTGCTGTTAGCTTTTTTAAAAGCTTTTCTCGAAACTTTTAAACTTCATTTTGTATTTTTTATTTAGTCATATATTTGTGCGTGTTGGTAATTATTTGCTATGATTTGTACTGAATTACGGGTTCAAGGGAGATGAATTGTTTCTAACAATTTTTGGATATGATTGTCAAGTTTTGCTTTTGTGTTATATAGCTGAAATGATGTGTTACATAATTTCAATACCAATTTTACTTTAGCCGATATTTTGTTAATTTTTAGATTGTGCCTTAAACACCAGTGTACTTCTATCTAGCATTGTAAATTAACTGAATTTTTTAAGTGTGATCTGATTCAAATCTTTGCAATACACAGACACAATTTACAAAATTTATCTATTCATACATGTAAGTGCGATTTTTTCCGATTGTATTTTAGTTCTATCAATCTCTGAGTCAGTAGATATATATGTAAATTTTTGATGTGCAAACGATGTGATTCGTCCATTTTGTATAGTTATCTTTCATAAATTCATCTATGGATGTGCCTTATTGACAAATTTTGTAAGAAAGTTCAGAGTATATTTGAGTGTGTTTTTAAATATTTAGATTACCCTTGTGAGGTGTAAATTGTGAAGAATTTGGTAGCATTTCAATGAATAAAGTCTATACTTTTCAATATGATTATCATGAAATACGTGTATTTTCGCTCCTATTTTGTTGATAACAATAATTATTTGACGGTCTTTTTGAGGACTAAGTATAGTTTATGCGTTTGCTGCATCCCCATCAAAAGCGATTCTATTTACACGAAAAAGAAGTTGTCTTCTTAAAATAAGAAATAGCCCTAGTGAAGACTCTCTCAAATTATTCTGTAGGCACTGCACACCGACGAAGAACTTTCTTTCTTAAACTACGAAAGTCTCAAAGCTAATACACTCTCATCCTTCAAAAAATATTTAAATGATTCTAAATACGCAGAAGAAGAAGAAATTGTATTTCCTGAACTAAGAAAATAGTCCTTAACATGCCAGTGAAAAACATTCTCATTTTTTACAAAGTAATCCTTTGCAATTCCGTGTAAGTCCTTCTAAGAACGGAGGAAAAAAGTTGTCTTTCTTAAACCGGGATATAGTCCAAGCGATGACACTCTCATCCTTTAAAAGTCATCTCTTCCTCTCAGCGGATGTAGATATGTCGCCTCGGTTTACCGATTCCCTTTTTTAAATGGCAAGGGGGTGGGGGATCGGCAGCACGCTGTTATAAAAGTGGCGGATTCGGGATTCTCTGCAGGGAAGGGGGTCACCCAAAATCTTGTGACAAGCAACAAGGGAGGGGTGGTTATAAGCCATCTTCTCCTCATTCACCACTCTCCCCCTTCTTCTTTATTTAGAGGAGGGGGGGGGGGGGTACGTGCCCCTGGAGTCTCCTGGATCAGTTACTATCTTATGTCAATCTAATGGTTGTTAGGTTGAGATAAAATGATTGCCAAATTGGCGCGCATACAAAATCGAGCCGATTATCGCATCAAATTTGAGAGATGTTTATTCGTTATGGGGGAGGTTATTGAGGTGATGATGTACATGTCAATAACCCTTCCTGAATTTTGCTCTGCAAGTTTTTTTGTAATGATTATGATGATGAAACCGTTGAACACGGGGTGCAGTGAAAAGTTGGAAAAACTGAGAGATGAAAACTTTTTTTTCACAACTATAGATGTTAAGATCCGAAAGGGGAACGGGGATTCCTTCCGTCATAATGATGTTTTTCTCCCTCTTTTCTGAAGACTTTCTAATTAATCTATGTGATTGGTTAGTAATTTGCTTTAGTAGTGGCAGTGTCAAAAAAGTAACCTTAAAATATGATATTAAAAAGAACGAATTTGATACAGGAAACGGCATGTCCAATAGAGCATTTGACACGAATTCGTTATGTCCGTATATATTCTCGCCAAATTTGTGTCCGTCTTTCTCTCTCCCTCGGTTCTCTTTCCCTTTCTTCTCTCTCTCTCTCTCTCTCTCTCTCTCGTTCTCTCTCTCTCTCTCTCTCGTTCTCTCTCTCTCTCTCTCTCTCACACACACACACACACACACACACGCACATACACACTCTCTCTCTTTCCCTCCCTCCTTCCTCCTCCTCCTCATCTTAAAACCCTCTCACTTGCGCTATTACCCCCTCCCCCTCCTTCCCCTGGCCCAATTTCTCACATCTCTCCTTTTCACATCGTTTTCTTTACACCTTTCCTTATGCATGCTTCCCGTATCCCTCTCCCTCTTTCTTCCCCCTTCCCTCGATCTATTTCTATCATCATCATCCAATAATGTTCCCCAACGTATCCCATCGCTTGTTGAAACCAATAAGCAAGAGGAAATAACCAATGTCAAACCCAATCATTGGTTTAAATAAGTTCTACTTAACCGTTAAACTGATTGGCCAAACAGACAGGTATTTTTAGACCGCCTCGCCCAACAGAGTATGACCCGGATGGTTATAAGGTGTGTGGTGAAACCGTTTGGAACGTGGTAAAACCAAGAGGGTGCAATGTAGAGCGAGTGGCGTAGCTACCGGGAGGTATGGAGGGTATGTTCCCCTCGAATAAATGCCCCCTCCCCGCCCCCCTCCCCAAACAAAAGATAAGGAGGTAAACTAAAGGGTAAAATGGTAAAGAATTAAAAAAAATTAAGACGATCGGACCGCTTCCTGCACCTCCCCCTAATTAGCATATTTTCATTTACAAACATTGTAGCAAGACCGCCCCCCAACTTGGCTGGACTCTCTCTACTCCACTATCATGACTATGATCTGTTCGCAAACACACAAATAGAAAGTCCATCAATCGACGCACCTTCGGTCATCCTCTTTCAAAGTCATGGTCAAGGCCATACAATTATCGAACTTTCCGGTTATCAGCATTATTATAATGACAAAAACAATTATATTTTTGTATTCGTTCTTAATACCCACAACATGACATTGTATGGA